ACTCTGTCCTGTCACAGTCACTGTTTAACTTCTATATCTCACAGCTCACTGTAAACTTTTGACAGTAGGGTCTGTGTCTTATTCACCTTAGCAACTATCACAGTGCCTAGCTCTCAAAGAATGTTTTCTGAATAAATGACAAGTAAAGGGAAATTTTTTTTTAAGTCTAATTATGCCTTTCACCGTTATGGACTTCTTGGAAAAAATGAGTAATTTACTCAGAAAAACTTTGAAGAGGAGATTAACAGATTTGAAAAAATTAAAATGATTGATAATCATTCAGTGCTAGTAAAAAAAAAAGCATACAACTGATGACAGAAATGTAAGTATAATGTTTTTGAAAAGTAATCAAACAATCATCAATTAAAATTAAAAATGCACTTATCTTCTGACTTAGCAATCCCACTTTTAGGAATTTTGCTTACAAAAATAAAAGCATCCATATGCAATATTATATTTACAAGGAAATTTATTGAAGCACTGTTTGCAATAGCAGAATAATTTCCTGAAAACTACCCTGAGTGTCCATCAATGGGGGGAATGGTACAACTATGCTATGGTAACATTCATATTATGGACTATTCTGCAGCTACTAATAAAAATAAGTTAAGTCTATGTGTAGAGGCCTGAGAGGGCCATGATACATTCAGTAAAAAAAAACCAGAATAGTCCCATTTGGAGGTTAAAAAGGTAACTATATGCACTTTTATTTGTAAAAATATTGAGAAAGAGTTAATACCAGACAGTTAATACTGGTGACCTCAGGGTTAGAGGTCACCAGCAAATATGTATTACTACTGTAACTTAAAATGGAAAGAAAAAAATGAAGTTTTCAAAAGTAAGAATAGTAAATAATCTGAACATATTCTCCCCTCCTCCAAATTCTTAACAACAACAACAAAAATCCCACATTACCATTACCTTAATGAAAGGGTGGTGCTTCAGGAGAGCCGAGGATTCTGTGGACTCTCTTTTACAGATAATTTAAACTTTCCTTTAAAAAAAACAAAAAAGCCCAAAAAACCTCTCTCTTACTCCAGCCCATCCCACCAAAAGGAGAAAGGCCTGTTCTGAAGCAAGCTTAATGTCCAGTGGATCTTCCTATCTCGTTTCTTTAATGAGTGGTAGTCTGCTTTAGGGATTTGTAACCAGGAGCTTAAAAGTTTTAGAATGCTCATCAGATTTTTACAACTATACCATTTATTCACTGAGAGTAAACTGAAGTGTTACATGAGAAATCAGAGTAAGACACAGGTTTCATTCAAATACTTCTGGTCCTGAAGGGAGTACTAACTGCTCCTTGGGCGCCCCCTGGAGACCGAATTTTAAATTTTTTTACATCTTTAGGACAAACTGGTGTGCTATATATTCATTCAAAGAATACTTATTAAGCACCTATATGTCAGGCACAATGTTCAACACTAGAGACAAAAAGATAAATAAAATCAAATTTCTGTTTTCTACATACTTAAAGTCAGTATCACCCAAAACTTTCTAAGCATAGCAGGTAGGGTACAATGTCTAAGTTACCCATACAGGTCCTGGAGGAAGTTAAAACACAAGATGATAAAAATGCTTCTGGGGTGCTACCGAAAGCAATTTGGCATGGATATAAACTTTAGCATAACTGTTCATTTAAGGAGAATGTTCACCATCTTTAAAAGAGAGTAGGTTTAAATATCCCAGCTAACACATGCAAAACTGTGGTTGTTATTTTCAGACAAGTTTAGGTTATGGCACTATAATTTTTCTTGGGCCAAAACAATACAAATAAAGCTTAATTAAAAAAATTCAAAAATGACACAGTATCTTCCATCATGATTTTTTAGTCACAAGTTATTCCACAATAATAACTCCACTCTGAGCACTTGACTCCTGATTGCACTGCTTTAGAAAATGGCTAATTTTCAAAAACAAATTTGAGTGTGAGAAGACAGACTTAAAAATTAGTTAGAAAATAAAACAAAACTGAAAAAGATCAATTCAACTAAATGGGCAAAATTCAATCTCAAAGCCTCCCTCAAACCTTTCCTTTCCAGTTCACAACACTTTCAGAAGATGCTGCATCAGATTTGCCTTTTCTTCCTCAAGGTCTGGGAGAGCAAGTAGTACAGGTAGAATTCACAGCTAGGAAAAAAAAAAAACAACAAGCAACAGCTTCCCTGTGGTGACACCCTCAACCATAACTGCAATGTCCCAGGATATTAGAGGGCCAGATATTCTCAGGTTCTGTAGCAAGGGTCCAAAGATGTACTTCTGGTGGCCTGAGTTGGAAATTAATGTAATCTTCCCAAAGAAACAATTCTGTTTCAGCCACATTTCAGGTACCCTGTTAGCTAAATTAGTAATGGCATGATAGTTGGGGAATTTAACCTTGATTTATATAACTTTTCCCCTACAGAAAAAAATTAGCTCCAAAAATTACAATCGTTTGGGATTCAGCTTACATTTGCCTGTATAATAAAACACTGAGTAAAAATGCAAGAGACTCACAAAAGAAACAAACCAAAAAATCCTCTGACTTAACTGACCATAGACATTCCATTGTTTAATCCACTAGAAGACAGCAACTGCTGAATTATAAGCTATTTGGAATTGTAAGAAAACAGTTGAATTTAAGCTCATATAAGTGTTGAAATCTTAAAAGAATAAGATAATACATTATAGAACATATCTCATCATGGAAACCTTATAATTCTTAATTAACAGGTTTAAAATATTATCCACCATTATCAAACAGAGTAAAGAATAAATACTAATTACAGAATGTGGAGATTATTTTTAACCCATTGGAGTAATATGGGTATTATCAGTTTGGGTGTGAACACTTAAAAGTCACATTATGATTCAAAAACAAAATATTTAAATACATTCCAATACATCAGTCATAAACCAATTTTTTTTTTTTTTTTTTTTTGCGGTACGCGGGCCTCTCACTGTTGCGGCCTCTCCCATTGCGGAGCACAGGCTCCGGACGCGCAGGCCCAGCAGCCATGCTCACGGGCCCAGCCGCTCTGCGGCATGTGGGATCCTCCCGGACCGGGGCACGAACCCGTGTCCCCTGCATCGGCAGGCGGACCGCCAACCACTGCGCCACCAGGGAAGCCCCATAAACCAATTTTTAAAAAGTAAAACTACAGTGCACTTCAAAGTAAAAACAACCAACCTCATAAATTAAGAACAGGAACTCTAAAACAGAGGAAAAAATTATTTGCATCTATGCATGTCAGATATTTTACCTCATTTCATATTCATAAATACCATACCAGACAGGTGTTATTTCTTCCTTCTTACAGAGGAACCCAAGGTAAAACAACAACTTCTCTGGGACTAAAGAGATAGTAAATGGAACAGTTAGGGTTTGAACCCATATCTGTTTGACTCTAGTAAAGTCTTTTCCCCCTCAGAATGGGAGAAAATATTAGTGACCGACAACAGATTCATCTCCAAAATATACAAACAGCTCCTGCAGCTCAATATTAAAAAAACAAACAACCCAATCAAAAAATGGGCGGATGATCTAAATAGACATTTCTCCGAAGAAGACATACAGATGGCTAAAAAGCATCATTACATCATTGCTAATTATTAGAAAAATGCAAAATAAAACTACAGTGAGGTATCACCTCACACACATCAGAATGGCCATCATCAAAAAATCCACAAACAGGGCTTCCCTGGTGGCGCAGTGGTTGAGTGTCCGCCTGCCACGGGTTCGTGCCCCGGTCTGGGAAGATCCCACATGCCGCGGAGCAGCTGGGCCCGTGAGCCGTGGCCGCTGAGCCTGCGCGTCCAGAGCCCGTGCTCTGCAACGGGAGAGGCCACAACAGTGAGAGGCCGGCGTACCACAAAAAAAAAAATCCACAAACAATAAAGGCTGGAGAAGGTATGGAGAAAAAGGAACCCTCCCACACTGTTGGTGGGAATGTAAATTGGTATAGCAACTATGGAGAACAGTATGAAGGTTCCTTAAAAAACTAAAAACAGAGCTACCATGTGATCTAGCAATCCCACTCCTGGGCATGTATCTAGCGATAACCATGATTCAAAAAGATACATGCACCCCAATGTTCATTGCAGTGCTATTTACAATAGCCAGGACATGGAAGCAACCTAAATGTCCTTTACAGAGGAATGGATAAAGATGATGTGGTTTATATATACAACGGAATATTACTCAGCCATAACAAAGAACGAAATAATGCCATTTGTAGCAACATGGATGGACCTAGAGATTGTCATCATGAGTAAAGAAAGTCAGACAGAGAAAGACAAGTATCATATATCTCTTACATGTGGAATCTATAAAATGGTACAAATGGACTTATCTGTAAAACAGAAACAGAGTCACAGATGTAGAAAACAAGCTTATGGTTACGGGGCGGGGGGGGAAGGGAGGGGGAGGGATAAATTGGGATATTGGGATTGACATTTACACACTACTGTGTATAGAACAGATAACTAATAGGGACCTACTGTATAGTACAAGGAACTTTACTCAATACTGTGATGGCCTATATGGGAAAAGAGTCTAAAATAGAGTGGATATATGTATATGTATAACTTATTCACTTTGCTGTACACCTGAAACTGATACAACATTGTAAATCAACTATACTTCAATAAAAATAAAAAACAAATAAAAATAAAGTCTTTTCTCCTTCCCCTACTATGCTATTTACATGTAAGAGGTTTCATATATACAACAAAAACCTGAAACCATCCAATTGTCATGTCTTTTAAAAAGTGAAAAGAACGAACAAAAATAAGGAGAAAAATATTTATGTATCTTTTGGTTGAATTAGCTCCACTTATAGTCTTACAAATGATCAACAATTATAAATACAGCTGTAAAACACATAATGAAGATTTTACCATCCGACTTTTTCTGGATGCTCTTTAGAGAATAAAATATAGGCCAGGAGTGGGTTGTATGAACCTGTGAGAGGAGTAAAATCCCAAAGCTAATAAAAGCCATATCCTGGAAAAGAGGAGGAAACTATTTTAGAAGTTCTGGGTCAAAACTTTTGCTGGTCGCCGAGTTTCACAATTCTTTGGATTCTTTGGTGTTTTACAGCACTACTGGTCTGCTCTTCTGTTTCTAGATATCTTCTGTTTTCCTTCTCTCCCAAACATTCCCCAGATTCTCCAATAAGCCTTTCACCCACACTGCAGCTAACCACGTATCTGTTCGAAAATTGTTAACGGAATTGAAGCATTAACCTTACCTCGCTTTGGGGAAAAAAAAAAATAACACCATTTTAGACTTGAGAGGCATTTCATACTGAGTTTAAATCTGTGTGCACAGCCTCTACTGTTCTAGTGGGGGCAACCGAGACTCGGAGAGAGGAAGTGACTTGGCCATCGACTCAGTGTAAGTTGGCAGCCGGGCCAGAGGTTGAAGTTTGATCTCATACTCCACGGCTTTTTCCAACCACAACAACCCGGGCTGAGCCTCAGGGCTGGTACTGACTTGGACGGGTTCAGAACACCTAAGGTAACGCCCTGTCGCCCGGGTCTCCTTTCTAGGATAAAGACCAATTAGTAGACGGTTCAGAGTTTAGAGGGCCTGCAGGAATGGGCGTGGTGGAAAAACCGGTCTCCCCTCCAGGCAGCGGTGGGCTCACCCAGCCTCTAACCCAAATCGACGCTGCTGCCGCCTCCGGCCGCCCCACAACCAGCGACACACTGACCTCTGCGCGCTGGGGGCCCCGGAAGCGGACCCTCCCGGGATCCCTCTCCCAGCCCACTCTCGAGACGAACTTGGTCCCCAAAATGTAAGGAAAGAGGGGCGCAGGAACAAAGCAATCCCAAGCGGTCCCCCTCCTTTCTGGGTCCCCCCGAGGCGGGCGGACGTGGACTACCAGTTCCGACATGCCGCGCGCCGGCGGACCCCCGAACCACCGCCACGCCGACGGTGCGCCGGTCGTCGGGACCCGTAGTCCGCGGCTCCGGGGCGGTGGGGGGTGGGTGGGGTGGGGCGCGTGGGGGAGGCGCGGACAGACGCGCGCTGCGGGACTGGCCGGCCCGGCGTCCGGTCAAGCACAGGGAGCCGCCGGCTGCCCGGGCCTCACCTCGACGATGCGGGCGCACTGGGTCCCCTTGCCGGCGCCGGGACCGCCGAGGACGAACACGACCTGCGGCCTCATGAGGCGGTGCGGGCAGAGGAAAAGCGGCCGGCCGGTCAGCAGCGGGAAGCTAAGGCCTAGGACGTACAGCAGCCGGCGGCCGCAGCGGCGAAGCATGCACTGTGGCTCGGTAGGACGCTGATGCAGCTGACAGCGGCCGGGCAGGCGTTGGAGCGGGAGCGGGGCACAGAAAAGGGGGCGGGCCGAGCCGGCGCCAGCCGCGGTCCAGCCGCCGTGGCTGCCGAGGCGTCCGCGCCGCGGCCGGAAGGGGCGGGCTTCCGCTGCTCTCTCGTTAGCCGCGCCCCTACGTCCCCCACGCGGGGCCGCGCTCGCGTCCTCCCCGCCCCTCTGCTGGCTCTTTGATTCTTTCGGTCCGCGGGTCTTCTACCCTGAGCCTCCTGGTGTCGGGCCTGTGCTGGCGTAAGGGATGTGACCCACGGGAGAGCAAAGCCCATTGTCGCTGCTCGCAAGTTTAAATTCCAGGGGCCAGGCAGCCGACCTGAACAAGTCAACACACGAATAAATAAATGCAAATAGCAATATCGACTTTGAAGGAACCAAAAGGAGGAATAACAAGAGATGAATGTAACTTGGGTAAGGTAGTCAGACCTCTGAAGAGGTGACATAGAAGCCAAGGCATAAGGATAGCAAAGAGCAAAACTAGGCAAAGACTGGGATAGAGTGTCCCACAAAGAGAGAAAAGGCGAGTGCAAAAAACCTAAAACTTTCAACTGTTAGAGCAATGGAAAGGCCCGTGAGATCAGAGTTGTGTGAAACGAAGGAGGGAATGAAAGGTGGGAGAGTTTGGCCGACGGCAGATCAGTCAGGCCCTTTGGTTAAGGAAAGCAGTTTGGATTATATTCTAATTGCAACGGGAAGCCCTTTTAACTATAACTCCATTTCCCTGCCCCTTGCATTAGGGAAAAACCTTGAGAACAAAAGGAGTCCAAGGAATGAGTCTTAGTGAACAGACCTTTAAAAGTTGGAGAGAGAAGGAGGAACCTGAGAAGGCAGAGCTAGAAAGGTTAAGAGGAAAACCAGGAGAATGTGGTGTTCCAGCAAAGAGAGTGTTTGGGGTGGGATTGTGGTGGTGTAGTAGTGAACACTTAAAAACAAATGAGTACAGATAAATTGGATTTGGCATCAGGGAAACTTATGAACTCTACAGTTCTGCCCAAAGCAAATCATACACTATATCTAATTTGAATCCCAATTGAAAAAGGACTGGATAGGAGATGAGTAAATGAAAACAATACTGAGAATAAGGGTCAAGGCAAAGTTCATTTAGGATGGGAGATAGGGGCCATGCTGTCTAATATGGTAGCCCCCATTTAAAAATGCAAAAAACATTGTTAGTTTGTAAGTCTATACCAAAACAGGTGCCCACAGGCTATAGTTGCTGCCCCCTGGCCCAGCAGAATGCCTGGTGTTAGAAGTCCAATCCAAGCTTAGAGGAACGCTCCAAATCCTCCACCTACCAGGGAGGAGGACCTAGGACATGTCAGCTGAAAGTAAGAATGACTGATCATGTTATAAAGAGGTAGTAGGAGTACAAAAAAAAGGCCATATTGAAGCAAATGTGCCTCTTTTCCATTGTGCATGTTCTCTTAAGTGACTTTTCTGTATCTTATGGCATAATTGCCAGATTTGAAAGATGTTAAGGGGATGGGGGTCTGTGGAAAAGGGCCTAGGAAGCTATTCTTTGGCTTTTAGTGAAAGCCTTGTGCCCTTTTCACATGCGTTAGGAGAGAAACAAAAAGATAGTCTTTCTGGCTCCCATGATAGAATCCACCAGTACTAATGATTCCACATATGAGTCTGGGTTCAAAACTTCATTGTATACTTAGAGCAATATGTAGTGCCTTTTCTCTCTTTGACTCCCTGGAGAACTTGACTACAGTAGGCTAAGTTCTTAGTATCCTCCACCTTGCCCATCTCCTGCCAACCATGCTAGGCAACTGAGGAAAATACTAAAGAAGAAAGATATAAAAAAAAGTGAAACCTAGATACCCACATCCGCCAAGGTTTTCCAGGAAGTTATTTCCAGGAAGAACAAGAGTAGGCCAAAAGGACAGTTTATTATTTGTTGGCTCTTTGGGCCTATTCTGGTTATCTGTTCTTACGTAGCAAACCTTAGTGGTTTGAACAAGAAATGCTTGGCGTGGGAACACCACCCCCAGCCCAAACGTCACACACATTTGGTGACCAGAAGTGTTCGGTTTGAGTAGTGCTGTGGGTAGAGAGAGGAGACACATGGGAGTGTCTTTCCAAGACACCTGTTTACCACACCAGGCAGTCCCATGGAGCCAAGCCAAGGAGGCTAGGATCCGTAAACGACACGGTGCTACTCTGATGCTCAAACATTTAACCCCTCTGCTTGTCTAGAGTGAAAGGTCTAACTCTTAGCGCCTTGGTCCTCATTTGTCCCCAAAGAATTCATTTTGCCTTAGCCTTATATCAGTGCTTCTACTCCTTGGAGGTGGCAGAGAAGCAATGAGTTCCACCTAGATGCAAACAATCAGACCCTCAATAAGAAAATGTCTCAATAAGAATATGTTGAGTAAATGGCTGTCACCTGTAAATGGTAGAGGGCCATTTCCTACCTAAATCCATAGATTGAATCCATAGATTACATAAATTTGATTGATATCTATTGAATATCCACTATGTGCCAAGGATTTCACTTATATTCCTTAGTTTTTGGATGATATTCAAACTTTTAAATAATCAGTACAATCAGAATATTTATAGAGATTTCTGTGCCGGGGATTTGCTGTGCCAGGCATCAGTCCTCTAATTGTGGGGTCTTAAGGAGGTCCTAGGTGTCCCAGGAGAGGGGAAGAGGGCATTCAAAGTTCTCAGGAGAGAAGCTATATCTAACTCATATGGAAATAATTCACTTTTAACCACCAACACAATTTCACCAGTTGTCTGTTGGCTACACATCAAGCCTGGCCTTATAAAATGCTCGTAATGCTATGAAGTTAGTACTGTCATTTTGCAGATTGAAAAAGAGAACCAGGGAGTGGAAGTACTTTGTTCAAGGCCACAGAGGCAGTAGATAGCAAAGTCAAACTCAAACTTAGCGTGTATAGCTTCAAAATATGCGTTCTTTCTATACATTACTGACCCTTTATGAGATAAAAAGTTCCATACTCACAAAATCCCTTCAAAGTAAGTTCTGTTACAGATGAGAAGACTGATCTCAGAAAGATGTATAACAAGAGCTATCCTCAAAACCCACTCCTACCCATATGAGTTTATTTATCAAGTACGTTAGGTCTTTGGGGCATATATTCAGTGTATGCATACTGTTCCCAGAGTATAGCTATGTTCCTAGTGAACTCTTGAGGGTCTTGAGAAGTAGGGCCTTGTCACCATTTATGTCCTGTTTATCATAATTGTCCTTTAGATATCTGTTCCCATACTTTCATTTTCCCACTCTTGACCACACCTGTTTGCTGGTATGTGCTGTTCATTTTTCAGGATTCAGCTCAGATTTTACTTCTTCCGGGAAGCTCTCTCTAAATTCCCAAGACTGGGTTAGGTGCCCCTCTTTTGTTTCTACACCCACTACCACCACCACCACACTTACTCCGTTCCTTGTTTACTTCTGGCCTAACACTGTGGCGTATTGTGTATCTCCATACTAGATTTAGAGCTCCTTGAAGGAAGAGACTATGTCTGATTACTCTTTGTACAACATAACAATGTCTTACTGTTACAACGTGATTTGCTCTCTTAAGGGAACTCCAAGGTTCTTGGAAGATTCAGAATATATAACTTGGTTGCTGCCACTCAAGTTCTATCTACAATGGTCTTTGGCAACTACTTCCTTGTAATTCCAGAAATACCTTTCTTGAGTGTACCTAGGAACTGGTTTCTAGGATCAGTCTGGGTGATGGAGCAAAGATAGGGCATGTGGGTGGCACAGGTGGGTGGGTGGCAGGCCATATGCTTTGCATTCAGGACTTCACAGCCATCTGTTATATTGTGATCTATTTCCTGGAGGGATGCTTAGCCCATTACACAGCCTGATGCTTAACGGAGGTTCTAAAATGAAGATTCACGTTATTCAGATTTGCACGGTTATTGCTGTAATGCTTTATCAAAGGAGCTTTTATCAAAGATTCTGAGAGCATTGGTTAAAAGAAACATGGTCTTTTAAAAGCTGATGTGCCAAATCTGGCAACAGACAATATGCCTACCCTCCTGGGAGTGACTGTCGGCTAAGCTCAGTCCATACTGCAGAATGGCAGCCTGACCAGTGAAGGGAGATTGTCTTTGGCAGGTCTTACAGTGTTTTTGCCTGTTAACTTTGCAAGCCTAGGTAGTTTGGTTATGCCTACAGTGTCTTTGTCTGCAAAATCAGGATGATGGTAAAAAAAATCAGTGTGGCCAATACTTACAGAGAATTTACCGATGTGTGTTATTTGCTCATTCTAGTCTTTATTCCAAACAATCCAAGCTCTAAAAAATAAGTAAAATAAGTCACATGACTTGACACATAAATTATTATTATTACCTCTCCCAAGAGGTTTGAGTCTCAAGGAATTGTGCATAAATTAACAGATTAACAGTCCCCCTTAAAAATATGATGTTGCTTAAAAGCAAAGCTGTAGTTGTTTTGAAAAAGCAGCAGTCCAGCTTAGCTCAGAAGTGTAAATACAGAAAGGGAAAGTTGGGTGTTTGGAGAAATTTAGTAAATAAGGGCAGAACCGGTAACTGATTCCAACTTCCCTGTTCCTGGTGAAAACAATAGCTCTTTAATTCCCACGACTAGCCTATTAGCAGGCACATCAGGGTTTATAACACTGAACATTTACCAGGTCTTATCATAAAGAGCATGTCACGTGGTCAGGGACTGAAAGGGAATAAGGAAAAATGAAAACAATTGATATGTTAGAATGTAGAATTTTGGATTAATTTTTCTCTTTACATTTTTTTCTTTGTAGCATTGTTTGTGCGACAAATTCATACATTTTTTTAAAAGTATGACATACTGAGAGGCCCGCGTACCGCAAAACAAAAACAAAAACAAAGTATGACATACTGGAAATGGTTCTCTGTGAAGCAAATTAAAGTGCTTAGAAATTTGAAAAATAATACCGGTAGCTTTTCTCTGTAGGGGCCAATAGCCATAGCAATTCCATGGTGTCCTGAAATAACATAAATATATATAAGCAAGGATCAAAGAATAGCACAGTATATATTCAGTCTATTTAAACTGGCCTGTAATCTAACAATAATTCATATTTGCTTTGGATAATTACCTCTTATTACCCCCCCATAAAATTGTGCCTTCCTTGTTCTTTGCTTGTCATGTCCTTCCAATTCCCCATGCCATCTAGCACAAAGCTTAATGTGTAGTAGATCCTTGGTAGAAAATTTGTAGATTTTATTTCACTAAGCTTATTCTCTAATTTAACAAATCAATTCCCTTAATCTCTATGTACATACAGCAATGTGTTGCTCATTTATTAACACTGGCAGTTGTCAGTATACCTGGACTAATAATATATGGGCAGCCTTTTAATTAACTTTCACACTTATTATGAATTAACTCTTTTATGATAATATACAATATACAAATGAGGAAAATCAATCTTAGAGAGTTTAAATGGCAGAATTGGGGCCAGATGCCCAAAGCCAGTGCTTGTTACATCATACCATATTTCAAAAAAAAATTTTCAATACCTAAGGAATAAGCCCTTTGGACTCCTCCACGTTGTCCTAAATATGAGGCTGAGTCATTCCAATCCAAAAATGAAGTCAGTAATTACTTTTCATTCAATTCAAAAAATATCTACTCTATCCATAGCATTTAACGTATATCCTGCTTAGAAGTCCAGTGGTAATAAAATGTTTAATTGAAGTCTTTTTGAGTTATTATTAAGCAAAAAAGAAGGCATTTATCTTATTTTATTGCTGTTGTTCAAAAAATTAGCATATACTTCAACTCTCCTTTTGCCCCCTCCTTTCTTTTTTTTTAAACAGAGTTTATTTTTAAGAACAGTTTTACACTAACAGGAAAATTGAGAATATAGTAGAGTCTCCTCATACCACCCCCCCACCGCCACCCAGTTTCCCCTATTATTAACATCTTATATTTAGTATGGTACATTGTTACAATTAACTGTCCAATATTGGTCACTATTATTAAGATCCATAGTTTATTTACATTTTCTTAGTTTTTAACCCAGTCTTATTTTTCTGTTCCATGATAGCCCATTACATTTAGTTATCTCTTTAGGCTCCTCTTAGCTAGTTTCTCAGACTCTCCTTGTTTTGATAACCTTTACAGTTTTGAGAAGTACAGTTCAGATACTTAATAGGTTTCCCCACTGTTGGAATTTGTCTGATGTTTTTCTCAGGATAAGTCTGGATTTATAGATTATTGGAAGGAAGACCACAGAGGTAAAGTGCCATTTTCATCACAGCATATCAAGTATACATACTATTGGCCTTGATCACCTGGCTGAAATACTGATGGTCAGGTTTCTCCACTGTAACTCTTTTCCCCACTCCTTTACATACTGTACACCTTGGAAAGCTGTCAATATGCCCAGCCTACACCTAAGGAGTAGAGAGTTGTGTGTTATGCTTGCCCCTTCCCTTTTGTCTAATTCATATCGTCTTACATTTCTCTTTCAGATATTTTAAAGTAGTTCTTTTTTTTTTTTAATTAATTAATTAATTTATTTATTTATTTTTGGCTGTGTTGGGTCTTCGTTTCTGTGCCAGGGCTTTCTCTAGTTGTGGCAAGCGGAGGCCACTATTCATCTCGGTGCACGGGCCTCTCACTATTGTGGCCTCTCTTGTTGCGGAGCACAGGCTCCAGAGGTGCAGGCTCAGTAGTTGTGGCTCACGGGCCTAGTTGCTCCGTGGCATGTGGGATCTTCCCAGACCAGAGCTCGAACCCGTGTCCCCTGCATTGGCAGGCGGACTCTCAACCACTGCGCCACCAGGGAAGCCCTAAAGTAGTTCTTAAAAGAAAACATAAATCATGAGGGGCCCACACAAAGTTTTTTTCTTTTACATCCTAAATTCACTCTGTAATCAAATTCTGTTGAGTTTACCTTCAAAATATACACAGAATCCAGCAACCTCTCACCACCTCCATTGCGGTTCAAGCCATCAATCTCTCCCTTACATTATTGCAGCAACCTTCTAACTGGTCTCCTTGCTTCTGCCTTTGCTCCCTACAGTTTATTCTCTATGTGGCAACCATAGTAATGCTTTTAAAACCTAAAATCAGATCTTGTCATTCTCCTATTTAAAATCTTCCATTGGCTTCCTGTCTAACTGAAGAGTGCAGGTAAGTCCTTATAATGCCTTATTTGATCTACCAACACCTCCTCCCTCTTCAGCTGCTGATATTCTTCTAACCCACTTTGCTCAGCACATACTGGCCTCCTGCTCTTCCTTGAAGATGCCAGGAAACTCTCACCCCAGGGCCTTTGCACTTAATGTAAAGCATGGCAGCCATCTAAGTGTGCCACCTGTATCTCTCTCTAGAAAGAATTTGACAATTAGCTGCGCAGAGTACACTTAGCTGACAGCCTCTTGTTATGGTCTTCTGGATCTGCCTTAATTTTGTGCTTGCTCTTTTTGGGAAGCTCCAGGCAATGACTGAGCACAGCAAGGGTTCTAGTCATTTCTGCCTAATGTGGGACTCCTCCAATGGGCAATATTTGCTCCAGAGTTCCCCACTGGGTCAGCCAACTTTGTCAGACGTGCATCACTGGCTAAGGCTCTTCCTGTTCTCACACCAGAGCTGAAGAACTCACCAGCATTTCTCTTAAAATGTGTGCCCTAGATTCTAGGAATTTTTCCAGGAAAGCAGAGAATGATGCTCTATGGAGCATGTATTTCTTGGCTCGTTTGATACATTTTTCAGGATGGTGTTTTCACTCTGTCAAAAGGGTGGATGCATATTCAGAACAAGACAGGCTACAAATGCAGCGCAGACTTCAACACACTCCCACATTGCTCAAGAAACTAACAAAAGTCTAGAGAAACGTGACATTTGACATTTCGAATCTGGACTCTGCAATAACTAGCTGTGTGATCCCTTGTTGAATAGGGATAGTAATACCTACGTTGACTGTTAGGACAGTCAAATACGATAATGGAGAAGGCTCAATTACCAACGATACTGTGGAGATAACTATAAATCATCACACTAATACTAATACCATATGCTATATATATAATACCAATACTATATATAATACCAATACCATACATCATACATAATACCAGTTTTCGTTGTGGAGATAAGTATAAATGGCTTATAAATTTGTCACGTTCTTTTCTGCTCAAACAGGAAGGAACTAAAATTTTTTTATGTTATTGAGAGGAAAGGACGATTCTTAGGAAAGAAACTGGAAGAAATCTAACTTCCCCTCTCTTTTTGTCCAATCAAGGGATTTGGTACGCTTCTAGTCGCCGAGCGAGGACCAGGGCAACGAGCACTTCCGGTTTCCTCTGCCATCCTCTCATCCGCCAGGCTGGGCTTTTCACTGCGCGTGCGCAAATCCCGCCCCACCCCGGAACTTAACCGTTGACGAAGTTGAAGTGTTTAAATCCTCCGGAATCTAATCCTGGATGGCGGGTGGCGCCCTCCTTTCTCCACGGAAGCTTGGGATTGGTCGGTATGGGACCAGTGCGGGGCGCTGATTGGCTGGAGCGCCAGGGTGTCGCGGCGACCGTGAGTGACGCCTTCGGCACCGCCCTTGCTCCCTGACGGGTTGGGCTTCTGACCAGTCAACAGGCGCGGCGCGGACTTCGGTTTCGCGAGTTTCTGTTTGCCGCCCTGGTTCCCGCGACCTCAACGTCCCGGAGGCGGGGCGGAGTCGGCGGAGGCGCTCCTTGGGGCCGACCTCTGTTCCGGCCCAACAAACAAACCTCGACTCGGCGGAGGTTGAGGTGAGTGGGGATATGTGCTTCGGTTCCCCTGAGGAGCGGCAGCAGGACGGGAGGAAGGAGGGTGGGCAACACTCAGGGCCCAGTGGTGGGTTCAGGCCTCCAGGAGCCTGGACTAATGAAATGAAGGGAAGCTAGTAGGAGAAACAAATTAAGCGGACCATGAATTCCTTGGGAATCGTTTGTACGTAGGTGTGTGAACGTGGTTTGGAATCGATAACGTGCCGTTTAAAGTTTTTACTGTGAAAATTTCTTGACTAAAGCCCTGTGTGCTCGGACAGCTACATAGTAGGGAATCAGTTAACGTTTGAAGTTCGTGGTCTACTGGAAGTAATGTATAAACAACAAAGCGTGAAAATGCTGTGTATGTGAACACAGGCGGTAGTAACACCACCATGGTGCCTAGGAAATGGTTTCACAGAGGAGTTGACATTCGGATTGGATTGTGAAGGATGCTGGGGGTTTACCAGAGCTTTCCAAGTAAAGGGGACAGCCTGCATGCAGAGACACTCGGGAACTGCAAGTAGTTCACTTTGATTGTGTTGTTGGAGGAGTGAATAGGGGTTAAGTTTGGAATAATAGGATGGGGCCAGATTTTGAAGGTCCTTTATTCTGTACATAAAGAAGAGCCATCAACTCTTCAAGCAGAATAACTTGATCAGATTTATATAGAAATAACCCTTCTAGCAGCACTGTGGGGACATTTCAGTAAATCTGGTGAGAGCTGATGAAGTCAGGAACTCAGGTAGCAGAGATGGAAAGACAGAATTTACATCGGGGAAGAGGGAGGAAGGAAGAGGTAAGGATGACTTGATGCTTTCTGTTATCCAGGGAGAATATGTTTTGCTAGGTATATGTGTTATGTTTCACTAGCTTTAATTGCTTGTGTGTTACTGTCAGAATAAACTGTCTCGTGTGTTTTTTTTATAATGAGAAGTAGGTCAACATTATCTTTTTACCCTAATGCATAAAGGAAGAGCAGACAAATATGGAGTTTTAAGACTCTTTTGTTTAATGAAGAAAAACGGCACTTTATTACTTCCTAGAGTTACGACTATCAATCTGAATATTGTTACCCATGACAACCAAGTAGCATAGAAGGACTTTAGAGTTTAAAACATGCATTGCCTGGAAGCTGTGTGACGTCCAGATGCCTCTAAGAGGGACTTTTTATCAACCTTACAAGGGCACTTTCAATAGGATTTTGTTCTTGTAAATATTTCCAACTTCTGACTTTAACTAAAAAATTCTTCTAAATGACTTCTGCACCAGCATGAATAACTCTCTCCTTCCTTATCTTGCTTTAAACAATTCATTTTTGCTAGAATTGAAGTAGAAGGTACAGGGCCTAAAGATTAACTCTAAGATTTAATAAAAAGACATAGCAAATAATGAACTGTAAAGAAAGGACTTTGAGGTTTGTATTTTGCTTAGATAATATCTAGATTTAGATATCCAGTGGGCAATTAGAAATATGGGCTTGAAACTCAAAAGAGAGGCAGAAGCCGAAAGTTTGGTATATACAGATAGGTGTGGAAACAATTGAGAGTGGATGAGATTACCCAGAGAAGGTATGTGGAGCCAAAGAAACACCACTGACTTGGCACTGATACAAGTTAGTTTGTGGATATGCAGCATTTGCCTCCCATTTCCACAAGATTGAAGATTCATTGTCTTTATTATAGACCTAATAAACATCTGGCCCAAATTGTTCCTATTTGCTTCTTTGTGGTTTTCTGAATATTATGAGGCTTTTGGTCAAAATCTCATGCCCAAACTACGACTGCCCTACCTAGCTCACTAAATTCATACAAGGATCTTGGGGCAGAATCTGTACTTTCTTTAATGAATAGATATATTGGTGGGTTTTGCTGCCTAGAATAAATATTAACATTAATTATAGTGAATACTGTAAAGTATGAAAATGATCAGAATCCACAGGCACTTTATCTTATTAATTATGGTTGAAGACACTTCACTTAAGTAACCTAACTTTGTCTGTTATTTTCTTAATATGTGGTTAAATCGTGTTTCCTTTTGTTTTTCGTTTTTGTCACTCATTAGTAATATTCTTTTTACTTCTTTAGGATCCTGAGCATGTGAAATTGAGTAAATCATTCACCAACTATCATGGAGCCTACGTATCCTCTCACAGGGACCCAGATGAATACCAGGTATAGAAATATTTTTACAAAATGTTTTCTTTCACAGCTGCTCATATAACTTGGGTTGGAATAGAAGGGAAAAAATAATCTTTAGAACCAGGAAAATCTGGGTCCATATCCCAGCTCTACCTCTTATTAGGTGGATGACCGTGTTCAAGTTATTTAACTTCTCTAAGCCTCAGTTTCCTCATCTGTAAATTGGGGACAGTAATCTCTAACAGAAGATAATTGTGAAGGGTTAAATAAGATTACTAAACTAAAGGATCTGGGACATAGTAGGCACTCAGTAAATATTAGTCTTATTTCCTCCTTCCCTTATTTTAGTTTCACAGAGGGTCTTTTTATTCATGAAATAGTACCTGAACTTTTGAGGCTAAAGATCACATACATATTTATTTACATCCTAGACAAATGGGAAAGTGGTTGAGTTCCTTCTTCTAAACCCTAATTCCTTGATGGGAAAAATTTCACATTGGATGTATCAAGTTTCCTACATGTCCCTAAGCCTTTGCCCACTCAAGTGGTATAGGAAGGAGGAGCTTGCCAGCTGTCTCCTGATTTTCTCAGTTTGTCATTACTGTGAGGACCAGGCAAATTGGCTTGTGTTATTTGGCTCTTTGGATCATTTATTGTTCTTTTCTCCCCCAGAGAAGAACAATTAATGCTGACGTGTGAATTTTTTTCTTCTAAACTAGAATTGCATCCATGAGTTACCTTTATTTTCTGTATTATTTTTCTTTGTGCCAGATGTTCTTGATGAAGACAATGGGAAGCATGACCCAAAGAGGCTATCATATTCCTTTTACTTAATTTTGGCCCTTCTGTTCTGTCCTGTTGCTACCTCTTATTCTTTGAAAATTTGTCAACCTCTGTTCTTCTCTTTAATTTTATTATTGGGTCAAATCCATTCCTTACATTCTAGAGAAGTTAATATACTCGTGTGATTTAAACTGATTATTCCTGGTATATTCAACTCTAGTTTTTTAATTCATTTATTGAACTCTGGTTTTCAGTAATCTGTGGGCTTTAGGGCAGCAGTTTTGAATTATTTTTGGTTACAGACCCCTTTGAATATCTGATAGCCATGAATCTCATTCCCTATAAGGAAAAATACTTTTATACATACATGCAACATTTTGCACCCAATTTCAGGGCATTTGTGTCTCTCTTGCCTCTGAAGTCTACCTGTATACCTTAGATTAAGAAAAAAGACTAATAATGGCATTTATTGAAATCTTGCTCTTGTGCTAAGCACTTTGCATACATTATTTTTATTTAATCCTCACAACAAACCCATGAGGAGTAGGTACTATTATTATCCCCCTCTTTTTTTTTTTAAATGAGGAAACTAGCATAGAGAGATGAACTAAGCAAAGTTATATAGTTGGTAAATGGTATAGCCAATATTTAAACCTGAAATGATTTCTATTCTGTACTGCAAGGAAGTAAACCTGAAGTAGTGTAGGTTGGGCTTTAAAGGTACAATGGACTACTTAGAGCAGAAAGAAATAGCTAACATTGAGCACTTAAAATAAGCCAGGAATTTTTCTAAGCATTTTACATTAATTGACTCATATTCAGTATAACTCTACCAGGAGATACTGATGTTATTCTTTTTAACAGCTGAGGAAACTGAGGCACGGAGACATTAAATAACTTGATCAAGGTCACACAGCCAGCAAATTTTGAAGCCAGGTTTCAGACCTAAGCAGCTGATTTCCAGGCTTTGCTTTTAACCCTTATATCATACTGCCTCTCACCAATTGGTAAATAATAAATATATTAGATATAGAGGTATAGATAACTTGACAATTGGTCACTTACTACCTTTGTGACCTTGAACAAATTTCTTAATTTCAGACTGTGCCCTCATTTCAAAAAAGGGAGATTAAAAATCCTTATAGATATTATGAGCTCAAATCAGACAAAGATTTGAAAGCAAATAGCTAAGAATGTGGTGGATAAAGCACTACATCATTCAGTTTCTACTAGTATAAGCTTTGAAATCAGCCACACTTAGATTCAAATTCCAGCTCTGCTACTTAGTTGCTGTATCAAGTTATAAAAGCTACAGTTTGTTATCTATAAAGTGAACAATAAAGTGTTTCTGGAACAGTTTTAGTGAGAAATATTGTATATGTAAAGTGGCCAGTAGGATGCCTGGTACATAGTAGGTGATCAGTAAATGGGCTAATATATGTATATTTTTTACTGCAATTGACTTCTTTTTTTAAAAAAAAAAAATTTTATTTATTTATTTGGCTGTGCTGGGTCTTAGTTGCGGCACGCGGGATCCTCCGCTGCAGTGCATGGGCTTCTCTCTAGTTGTGGCCTGAGTGCTCATTAGTTGAGGGCATGGGAGCTTAGTTGCCCCGAGGCATGGGGGATCTTAGTTCCCCAACCCAGAGATCGAACCTGCATCCCCTGCATCAGAAGGTGGATTCTTAACCACTGGACCATTAGGAAAGGCCCTGGGGCTAATATTTTAGTTGAGAAGTTTTATCAGATGAAACATGAAAGTAAGATCTAGAACAAGATATTCTTAGTGCATGATATGATAAATATTTTTTCAGTTCAACTATTTCATAATCTACTACCATGCAAATGCACTTTTGTAGGTAGCTCACTGTCAGAGATTTCTTGCTTTAATTACATGTGATTAAAAACTCTGTGGTGATATCCTATATGATTTAACATTGAAATCTTGCTTTACATTGCTTGCGTGATCTTTGTGGAGATTTATTAATGATGTCCTTTTGATGCTTCACTAATTAAATTTATGTGTGGGACTTCCCTGTCCATCCAGTGGTTGAGACTCCACGCTTACACTGCAGGGGGCACAGGTTCGATCCCTGGTGCCTGATGCCACGTGGCACTGCCAAAAAAACCCCCAAAAAACACAGAACAATAACAAAAAACTCATGTGATAGGGCCCAAGATACCAAATTTGAAAACCCTGAAAAGTTTTTGTGCTTTTCATGATTTTTTAAGTGTTATCTAGAAATCAGTTCAGAAGGATGGATATTAATTTTAAATTTAAATGTAAATACATGGTTTATATTCATTTTTCAGTTACTTAAAGAAGATTATATAGAATTGATATTCCCAGTTCTTTTTAAAAAGACTCACGTGTATATAAATATATATATGGATAGGATAAAAAGGACAGAAAGTCATACCTAAATTTTGAGTGCTTATTCTCTTGATAGCAGAGTTACAAGTGATTTTTCTTTCCTTTTTACTTTTTAAAAATATTTTTCAATTCTAAAATTACAAAAGTAATCTGAAAACCCTATCATTTACAGTTAAACTGTTTCTTGTAAAATTTCTACTGTTTTTCATTGTGCTTTGATTTAAAAAAAATTTTTTTTTAAGGTTTTCTTCAAGCAGGATGGTGCCTTTCTATTTTCCTCCATCAAAATGTGCACTTTGGAACCCAATGCCAATTGGAGATTATATCTACTTACGTCTCAATTACCACAGGTATAAAACGTTTCTCTTTCCAAATCAAACCAGGTTAAACAGGAGTCAAAAGAATATGTAAGGCAATGATTACAGTGACCCAATTTTTTTTTTTAAACTTTTCTATTCAGGAGCTCCCCTCATACAAAGTATTCTTTCTGCTGCTTCTTAAATCTGTTCCTTGTGCTTTTAAGAAGTAATCTTAATTTCACAGTTAAAATATTCTGCAAATCTAAAGTTCTAAGTATTATAGGAAATCAAAAGAGACAAAATATAATAAAAACTGAGTTTTTCGTCATGTTTCCACATGGTGTCTTTGAAGAACACTGAGAAGATTGATTTTGAGTTGAATAGACCATATTAGAAGGAACATAAAATATTTTGGTTATGGCCAGGATTGTGAAAGAAAGACATAGAAGCTTAGTCTTCAAGTAATAGAAAATAGAGATCCACTGAGATTTTATATTTAAGAAAGTTACTTGCTAAAAGCAGAGTTCTAAGAAGGATGGATCATAGTGGGGAGACCCTAGAGTCAGCCTAATGCAAGATGGTTGTCTGTAATCCAAGGAACGTAGATTTATTCTGTAGTGGTTTAAGGTGGTGTAACTGGAGTCAGACTTCCTGGAGGGTCAAATCCTGATTTTACCCTTTCTTATTTAAGTGACCTCAGTAAAGTAGCCAAGGATCAGTTTCCTTATTTATAAAATGGGGATATGACACTTGTTTCATAGTACTTTTGTAAGGATTAAATGAGACAGGCTGTAAAGCAGCAGTTGGCACAGTACCTGGACATAGGAGGTAGTCAATAAATGCTAGCTCTTATAAGGGTTTAGAGCAGTGTAGCAGTGTTGAGACCAAGAGGAAAGAATGAAACAAGGTGTTTTGAAGAAATGTATAGCATTTGATGATCAACTGAATAGAGGAACTAAAGGAAAATTACAAGTCAAAAAGTATTTAAGGGCCTCCCTCATGGTGCAGTGGTTAAGAATCCGCCTACCAATGCAGGGGACACAGGTTCAAGCCCTGGTACAGGAAGATCCCACATGCCACGGAGCAACTATGCCCATGCGCCACAACTACTGAGCCTGCGCTCTAGAGCCTGCGAGCCACAACTACTGAGACTTCTTGCCACAACTACTGAGCCTGCATGCCTAGAGGCCGTGCTCCACAACAAGAGAAGCCACCGCAACGAGAAGCCCGTGCTCCTCAACGAAGAGTAGCCCCTACTCACCACAGCTAGAGGCAAGCCCGCATGCAGCAACGAGGACCCAATACAGCCAAAAATAAATTAAAAAAAAAAAAAAAGTATTTAAGTTCTCAGAGAAGGGTGGTATCATTGACAAAAACAGAGAGTGTCTTGTGGAAGTTTAAATATTTGTCAGACTTGTTCATTTTCTACATGTCTGTTAACCTATATTTTCTATTGCCATCTTTCTCTACTTCATTTTGAGTAATTTCTTTTGCTCTTCAGCTCTTCTAATTTTCTCTTTAGCTGTGCTTAGTTGCCATCTAATCTGTTCATTTAGGTTTTTTTTTTTTTCCTGGGGTAGTTTAGAACATATACCTTAATTTGATTTTTAAAAAATATTTGGTTGGGTTTATTTTTATTTTTGGGTGTGTTGGGTCTTCGTTTCTGTGTGAGGGCTTTCTCTCCTTGCGGCGAGCGGGGGCCACTCTTCATCGCGGTGCGTGGGCCTCTCACTGTCACGGCATCTCTTGTTGTGGAGCACAGGCTCCAGACGCGCAGGCTCAGTAGTTGTGGCTCACGGGCCCAGCTGCTCCGTGGCATGTGGGATCTTCCCAGACCAGGGCTTGAACCTGTGTCCCCTGCATTGGCAGGCAGATTCTCAACCACTGTGCCATCAGGGAAGCCCTCATTTAGGTTTTTAAATGTGGGAGTATGCTATATATGTGAAAGATTATTTATAATATATACACACAGTTTATAGAATAATAAATTTGTCTTGTCTTTTTTCATAGTATCTTGTTCCTTACTCATATTCTAGAGTCCTTTTTATATTTCTTTAAACATGTGAATTGTATTTATATTCTGTATTCAGTAATGCTAGTATCTGAAGTCCATAGATCATATGTAAACAAATGGATGTGACTATTTCAATCAAACTTTGTTTACAAAAACAGGAGGGCTCATAGGTTCTTGATCCTAAAATTCATAAAATTAAGAATTTTATGAATGCCTGGAGAACAACTATAACTTCAGTGTCTGCTTATTGCAATTCTGCTTTCCAGGTAGCCCTCCTTACCTGCTGCCTTTGACCCTAGGATTTCCCAACAGTGATCTTTCTGTACATTTTAAAAGATGTGTATTATATCTTAGGCAACATTTAATGGCAGGAAGGTTTTTTAGGCTGTCAGATCCACCACATTCGTAAAAGACATTTGTTATTTTTCAGAAATCCAAAGCTTGTGGTAACTGAAAAGACCATCCGACTTGCTTGTCGTCATGCTAAGCAGAATAAAGAAAACTTGCCATGCTTTTTACTTGGTTCTCTCACAGTAGATGAAGGTAATATACTTTGAAAAATTATTTTTATGAGTATAATAGATTTTATGTTTACTGTTTCAGTCAATTACTGTAATGTACTTTGGCTAATTTTCTTTACTGTATACCAACGTTATTAAGATGAGTAAAAGTTGACACTACTCATCATAGACTTTACAGTTTGGTCAGGTGGATAAATATATATGTAAGTCATTTTTTTTTAATGGAAGTTTAATGTACTCTTAGTATGAACAAAATACTTTCCTGTAATCTAGGCTTGCTTGGTTAATTTCACATTTCATAATTGGCGTGCTATATAATAACTGCTATTTTTGTTCTTCAGATGAAGAAAGTGTGACATTGACAATAGATCGTTTTGATCCTGGTCGAGAGGTACCTGAATGCTTAGAAAGAACCCCTACTGCTTCTCTTCCTGGGGACTTTGTGATCCCATGCACAATTCATACTCAAGGACTTTGTTCAAGAGAAATAATAGTGCACAATGCAGATGACTTCAATTCAGCTTTTAAGGTGAGATTTGTTGATATGTGATTATTTCTTATCCAACACAAGAATCAAACTATGTGTACTGTGTTATATTTTAATAAACCCATATTTAATAGGTATTCATTTAATTTCTGACTAAATGATGTTGACCTAAAATGCAATTAGATATGGTTTCTGAGGACAGAAATCCTAGGTAGGTAATATGGGTAGCATTCCAGAAGAGGAAGCAACATGACCAAGATAGCAAAGTGCAACATGTACTCAGGGTAACATTGAGGGTGGAGAGTTTTGCTGGATTTGTGGGCAATCAGACTTGAGTACTAGTTTGTTTAGATCATAGAGAGCCTTGTCTGCCAGGCTACGGAATTTGAACTTTATCTAATGGGCCATGTTTTTCATTGAAAATTTCTGAAAAGAGGAAATACTGTTAAATCAGGGATGGTTAATGTGATAGGGAGGGCTGACTGAAGTCAGAATAGTTAGGCCATTGCAGTAGTCAGGTGTGTATTAGAGGGGGGTGTATTAGCCTATAGCAGAGTGGTGGCAGTGAGACCAGAAAGGGCACAGTCTGCATGAGCAACTACAGAGGAAGAACTAACTTGACAATTTGGAGTAATAGAAAAGAATCGGAGAGGAATGGACCTTAGATTCTCTGAGACTGAGTCAAAGTTAATTTATGTCCGTTTTTACCCACGTAATAAATATTTATTGAAAGCGACATTCTCCAGTAAGAGTTTAAAATGCTGCTGGGACATATAGGTTGGAAATATATGATGGAGCTTGGTATATAAATCTTTTTTGCTTTAACATAATTATTCATATAACCTTTTGGTCACATGGAAGAAATAAGAGAATTGAAATGTTGCAAATCAGAAATTGTTTAATTTTATTAATATAAGATATATGAAACAAAACCTTCAGAGATAAGGACAAATTTCAAAGCTTTAAAATAATTGTATAATATTGATTCCTCAGGCTCTGCAGCATCATGTGTGTAGCAAAGATTCCTTGGATTGTGGTAAACTGCTTTCCCTAAGAGCTCATATCACTTCCAGGGAGAGTTTGGACACTGTGGATTTTGACTTGGATTGGGCAGCAGTAACTCTAGCAAATACCTTTAAATGCACACCTGTGAAGCCCATCCCCATTATTCCAACAGCTCTGGCAAGAAACTTGAGCAGTAATCTGAATATTTCTCAAGTTCAAGGTACCTATAAATATGGGTAAGTAAAAGACCTATTCATCCAAAATTTTAAATATTTGTCACATTAGTATATTTTCATGTTATTCACATAATGTGAAATAATTGTTTGGTCAGTTTACATGCCTGAGATCTGTGGCAGCTAGATAAACAACGAAGGAAGGTGAAAAAATTGTTAATTTTTGCTGAATATAGTTTTCTGATAATGAGCCTAATGGAGGCTGGAGAATTATTTATAATATGCAGGGGTTTTAAAATAATTAATTAATTTATTTATTTATTGGCTGTGTTGGGTCTTCATTGCTGTGCACGGGCTTTCTCTAGTTGCGGTGAGCGGGGGCTACTCTTCGTTGCGGTACGCGGGCTTCTCATTGTCGTGGCTTCTCGTTGCGGAGCACGGGCTCCAGGCACGCAGCCTTCAGTATTTGTGGCACGTGGGCTCAGTAGTTGTGGCTTGCAGGCTCTAGAGCTCAGGCTCAGTAGTGTGGTGCACGGGCTTAGTTGCTCCGCGGCATGTGGGATCTTCCTGGGCCAGAGCTCGAACCCGTGTCCCTTGCATTGGCGGGCAGATTCTCAACCACTGCACCACCAGGGAAGTCCTATAATATGCAGTTTTAATTGTGAATAATGAGCACTGCAGATAAAGGAGATTATTAAATTATAATGTATGATACTCTTGCTTACCAAATTGTCAACCACTTGAGGGTGGAGTTTCCTCACATAGCTGAAGCAGCATCCTCTCTAGCTTCCTATTAACACTCTTAGTTTCTTAGGAAATGTAAGCCAAATTGCTTGCTTTCTGATCCTCAGCAGGGCTGCTTCCCTGAATCCTCATCCACTTTCTTTATCCATTGTCTACTGAGCTAAATCAGACAATGTAAGCACCAACTGCTTTAAAGTCTAAGCAGTTCACTTCTGGCTTCCTTTCCCACTGACTCCACCCTAGTTCCTGTTAGGTCTCTAGAGCTCGAAATGTTTGGCAAAGTAAACTCAACTTCAAGTCTTGTCTACCAAATATGCCTCTTCAAAAGAGGATAAGAAAAAGGATTTTCTTTTCAGAGTGTCCCTGGAACAGCAAGAAAGTTCCCACATGCTGATCAGAGCACCTTTCTGGTTGGGGTGGCACAAAAGAAAAAGCGTTGCTATATTCCAAAATCATGGAATGGTCAAAGGTGATAGTGATTAAAAAGTGTTTGAATTAAATTGAACATTTAATTCTCTTGGAGTAATAAAATACTTCTCAATTGGTACATAGAAATTTGTGTTAAAATTAACCAAAAAATTAATTTATTTTCCTTAGTACCTGAGTCCATCTAGTGAAGCATGAATTTACCTTTCTTTGAATTATTCCTTTGTGACCCCTTGGCATGCCAGTAGTAACCCAGGATGTTCAGTATTCTACCTAATCACCTATTCCTCTTGCCCCTTTCTACCTAGAATTATTTAATTTATGACGTTTGCCTTTTTCTTTGACCACATTCACTTGTTTACCCTAATATTTATTAGGATCCATTGTGGAATAGTATTGTTTTATACACTGGCATTAAATATATAAAAAAACCGTACTTACTGTCCACTAAGTATATTATCATGTAAACACAATGTGGATAAACGTAATAGGGTTTTATATATAGTGCAGGGAAAGCAGGAAGGTGCGTCCAAATTGCCTGGGAAAATCATGGAAAGCCTAAGCTGGTTTATCAGGTTGTCAAGGCAGAAGAGCTCTCAAAGCAGGTGTAAGGGTCATTGTTGATACATAAATCTCGTGCCAACTCAGGCTTAATCATATTGTCACATGGCTTGATAAATTCATCATCTTTGTGTTTTAGGGTTATTATAGCAATAAAATGTATCCTCAGTGATACTATTAAGACTTTATATCACAAATGGCATTGTTTTTACTTTTGTGTTTTAAAGCCATAACAGTAAACTCTTGACAGTTGTACTGTACTTATCAAATTCTTAAAACTTATTGTCAGTAATAAGTATATTATATTAACAAAGTATAAATGTAGTATAATGTCCTTTTAGGGAAAAGTGAGCTTTGGGGTTCTATCATGATGGTTGCAAAATTCTTTGATAGCGGTTGGAGGAATATAGTACATGGAAGATTGAATATCCCTCACCTAATTCAGCCTCCTTCAGTGAGGAGTCACATCTGTTGCAATCTTGTCAAGTCACCTGCATGCTTGAATACTTCCAGCAACAGGAAATTCATTTCTCCCAGGGAAACCTATTTGGTTCTGCACTTGTTAGCCTTGATTTTAATACTTTTGATTTAAAAAAGTTGATACTTTTTAGAGCAAACTTTTTCAAAAGGTATGTAATCTTCAGTGACCATTTTAATACATAGAAATTTTAAGATATTAAATCTCTTCCATGTCATCCTCATAATTAGTAGAATATTTTTCTACACTTTGAACTGTTTTCTTTGTGTGCATGTGTATGTAAAAGAAATTATTCATTTGAATCCTCTCCTCTGCCTAAAATATACTTCTTCAGCACTCAGATTATCTCTTTTAGGTAAAAGTGCATATTTCCAATTGTTTTTACATGAATGTCTTCTGTTTAGATATCTTACCATGGATGAGACACGCAAATTGTTACTTTTGCTGGAAACTGATCCCAAGATTTATTCTCTCCCATTAGTGGGAATGTAAGTATTGCATTACTTATGAAAACCTTTTCAGCCATGTATGTATTCAAATGTATATTATAAGTATGTGAATCATTTGTACTATGAATATGTATTAATATTTGGATCACCTTATAAAACCATAAATGCTAATGATGCTTAAGCTTTCTTATTTTAACAGCTGAATCAGTTAAAATAAGATTTTTGTCCAATCTTAGGAAGAATTCCAGTATATAAAACAAAACTGAATTCTTCTGGTTGAAGTTGAAGCCTTAGAGCCCTGTTTCTTTAACCTTATTCACTACCCCTGTCCTTAAGGCATCTTGAAGAACTCAGGACTCAGGATAACACTGTTTAAAATTCACTGCCAGGCAATTTTGCAGAAATTCTCTTTAGTGTTTATGGAGATCTCTTTTCGAGTTGGTGGTTAATGACATTTAGATAGATTATTCAGTCAGAAATTTATACTAATTCAGTATTTAATGAGTGCTTACCCTATAAATAGTATTATGTTTCATACTGTGTTGGGATTTAAAGCTCCTCAAGGAATTAATAATTAAAGGTGAGGCGATAAAATATTCAAATATTCCCACATAGAAAGATAAATAATAAGTAAGTGTATGATTTACTATGAAATAAACAATTTAGACAGTGAGCACTATTACTGTTTGCAAGAGAGATGATAGGGGACATTTTCTTAGAGAAGGCAAACTTGAGCTGGACCTTTAAGTGTATAGATAATAGAAGAGAGGATTGACTGGGAAGGGAACCCATATGTGGGAATGGTACATGCAGACAAAAAATGAGAGTACAGAAATGTTCTGTGGACCATGAAATCTCCTTACAGTCTTTTTGCTCTGGTCCTGGTAGTGGCTGTGTGTTATTGCTGCTAAGTGAATATCTATTAAGAGTTTTCTGAGACTTCCCTGGCGGTCCAGTGAGTAAGACCCCGTGCTCCCAATGCAGGGGACGGGGTTCAATCCCTGGTCGGGAAGCTAGATTCTGCATGCATGCCACAACTAAGAGTTTGCATGCTGCAACTAAGAGCCAGTGCAGCCAAAATAAATAAATAAATACTTAAGAAAATAATAAAAAAAAATTTTTTTTAAAAGCGTTTTCCGTTTTTCAGCCTACCTGTATAATTATAGACTTAAATCCTCTCAATAACTCTATGGTTTTAGGCTGCTAACTTCTTTCTCCCCTAATTCAGCCTATTCTTTCTAGTGCAGGCTAATTGATTCTAATTGATTTCTGCTTTCACCTCTATTGTTAACCATTTTCTTTCCCACAGTTTTACCATCATTTCAGTGGAAGAGGACAGAAAGTAGTGCTCTGTCTCTGAATCTGTCTATGGTTATATGTATATCTATAGTCTCCCTCTTAATTATCAGCATGGTTTAATGTTCATAGATTTCTTATTTATGAGCCCTTTTATCTGTTCCTGATGAATGCCAAGAATTTCTGCCACATTACCTTGAGAAGAGCATAATCTAAAGGATGTTAAGTACTAATTTGTAAAATGACTATAGTTTTTAATTTCTATTTTTTGTTTTAGCTGGCTGTCTGGAATTATACATATCTATAGTCCTCAGGTGTGGGCTTGCTGCTTGCGATATATGTTCAGTTCTTCTATTCAAGAAAGGTAAGTGATATTTTTTTCTGTAGGGTTTTATTTTGATCTTCACCTCCATTCATGTTTTACTGGTGTTATTTAAAGTTCATGCAATGCCTTAACCTTTTATAATACTTAGAAACCAGAAGAACAGGCACACTAAGGAAGTCAAACATTATATTAAATGGGAATAAAACCAGACAAAAAAGGTGACATTGTGCTATACTTGGAAATGTGAAGGAATTCACTTGCCTAATGACAGTACTGTAACACAAAAGACATACTTTTTATGAGTGGAAAAAAACCCCTAGGGATCATCTACTCTAGCATCCTATTTTATAAAAAAGATTAATTTTCATGGAAGTGACTGAAAATGAGTTTGAATTTGTTTCAAGTGTTTTATTATTACCCTGTGCTGCTGATAGTACCTTAAGAAACACTTGGGATGAAGTTTAATGTTCTTGGAACTAAAGCACAAGCATTGGAACTAATAGGGAAACTTTATTTCTAACCTCAACTCCTCATTTAATTTTGTTATTTTGTACATGTTGCCATTATTTGCCTCTTACTTTCTTCATCTATTAAATGAAAATTCCAGAGTCTGTTTCTGTCTGCTTTGGTGGCTATAATACACTTTTTTAAAAAAACTTTAATGAAAAGGCAGTATAAGTACATGGCACTAAATCAGATATATATAAAGATACATAATAAAAATGTCTCTTCCACCGCATTTCCCCAGATCCTATCCCCAGAGACAATCACTGTTAAAGGAGTATCTTGTGCTTCCTTCTTGAAATACCAATGCATAGACAAATAACACCCTTCCCTGGTCTGTAAAAGTTAAATCACAAATGGGATCAAACCGTTCTACCTTTTCTCTGTTGCTTTTTTCTTTATATCATTATACCTTGGAAATCATTACTAAATCTTGGCACATACAGATTTAATACACATATTTTACAACTGAATAGTAAACAATATATACTATATTTTAAAAACTACTCCTTTTGCTTGCAGACAACTTTGTGTATACATCTTTGTGTGTATATACTAGTATATTTGTGGAATAAATTCCTAAAAGTGGTTTTTCTGGGTCAAATAGTATATCACTTTAAATTTTGTAGATATTGCCAATTTGTGCTTCAAAGACTATCAGTTTATAATCTTTCCAACAGTGTTTGAGAGTGCCTGTTTTCTCCATCCCCTCACTAACACTGTGGAACAAGTATTTGTTGAGCACCTACTATGTACCAAGCACTATTCATGATATTGGCAATAAACAGTAAACAAAATAAAGACCCTGCAGAGATAGGCAGTAAACAGAAAAAATAAGTAAAATAAATAGTATTTTACAAGGTGATGAGTGCTGTGGAGAAATAAGCAGGGGAGGTGGATGTTGTGTCTCTGGTAGTGGCAGGTAGGGTTGCAGTTTTAAATAGGGCAGTCAGGCAGACAAAGACTTGAGATGGGGGAGTAAGCCATGTGGCTGTCTGGGGCAGTATCACAGGGTGATGGGTACAAAGCTGTGGGGGAAAGATCACCTTGCATCTTCAAGGAACAGCAAGGATGTAGCGTGGCTGGAGAGGAGTGAGGGAAGGAAAAAACAACAAGACCTCAGAGAAGTAACTGGAAGGCCATTATTAGACTTTTTTTTTTTTTTTTTTTTTTTAATTTTTGGCTGCGTTGGGTCTTTATTGGGGCGTGGGCTTCCTCTAGTTGCGGGGAGCCGGGGCTACTCTTCATTGTGGTGCGCAGGCTTCTCATTGCAGTGGCTTCTCTTATTGCAGAGCACGGGCTCTAGGTGCGCAGGCTTCAGTAGTTGTGGCGTGTGAGCTCAGTAGTTGTGGCTCGCAGGCTGTAGAGTGCAGGCTTAGTAATTGTGGCGCACAGGCTTAGTTGCTCCATGGCATGTGGGATCTCCCTGGACCAGGAATCGAACCCTTGCGCCCTGCACTGGCAGGCGAATCCTTAACCCCTGCGCCACCAGGGATGCCCCCATTATTAGACTTTTGATCTTTGCAAATCTGACGTTTTATAATCTCATCTTCTGGGAACCTCCTAATCATGTCTCTTGCCATTATTCTGTTGGGTTGTGTATCTTTTTCACATTGCTTTGTAAGAGCTCTCTTTTTCTTTTTCACTCTCTGTATATATACATTTATATAATATGTAAAGTATATATTTCTTAAAATATATGTTATATGCTGCAAAGATTTTATATATGTGTATATAAATATGTTATAAAAATGTGCGTGTGTACATACATATATGTATTTGTATTGGTATAGATATGTGGCAAAAATTTATTTCCCCCAGATTGTCATTTCATTTCACTTTGGTTAATATTTTTTCCCAGACTTTTTTTTTCTTTTAATTATATGTTCAATACATTCTAAGCCAATATCCCATTGTGTTTGTGTGAATACATGTGTATTAATTAATTTATTTATTTTTGCTGTGTTGGGTCTTCATTTCTGTGCGAGTGCTTTCTCTAGTTGTGGCAAGCGGCAGCCACTCTTCATCGTGGTGCGCGGGCCTCTCACTATTGCGGCCTCTCCCATTGCGGAGCACAGGCTCCAGACGTGCAGGTTCAGTAGTTGTGGCTCACGGGCCCAGTCGCTCCGCGGCATGTGGGACCTTCCCAGACCAGGGCTCGAACCCGTGTCCCCTGCATTAGCAGGCAGACTCTCAACTGCTGCGCCACCAGGGAAGCCCCCAGACTTTTTTTAAAGTCCGATTTATCCATCTTTTTTTTTCTATTTTGCTTAGAAAGGATTTTTATTGAAATGAAAATCTCTTGTTTTTTCTCCAGAAGCTACAGTTCTACTTTTTACATTTTATTTTAATTATATAATATAGTTAGTTTTATTTGCAATAAAAGAGAAATTAAATATTCATTTTAACGTATTAGTAATATTAAGTTTTATTATCAGTGACGGGTCTTGCTTTAATTATTTATTGATAGTAAATGCTTGGTGAAGTTAGTTTTGAAGCTCTCTCTGTCAAAATGAAGCGTTAGGGAATTTCTTTGATACCTGGACTCTTTAATTACTGCCAGCCTTTAACCAGGGCGGTATCAGCACTGCTTGGCATAGCTTAGGTTAGTACTTTACAGCATTCTGATCAGTGGTCTTGTCTGACCCTAGAGAGAGGAATTGAGCAGAATAGGCATTCTGCCTCCTAAACCCTCACTGCTTTGTTTTGTTAATAGTGTAATATATCCCCAAATTATCTTTCATTCAACATTTTACAAAGTAGAGACAACTACTAAAAGGTTTTTTTTTTTTTTTGGGTTCACGGGCCTCTCACTGTTGTGGCCTCTCCCGTTGCGGAGCACAGGCTCCAGACACGCAGACTCAGCGGCCATGGCTCACGGGCCTAGCCGCTCCGCGGCATGTGGGATCTTTCCAGACCGGGGCACGAACCCGTGTCCCCTGCATCGGCGGGCGGACTCTCAACCACTGCGCCACCAGGGAAGCCCTAAAAGCATTTTTAAATAGTGGGTTTTGGTGTGTATTTTAAGGACTCTTGATTACTTTACAGATATTTGTTGAGTCATGTAGTGAATAATAAAATGAATGTTCATTTTATCAGTGTTTATAGTAGTGAACTATTGTGAATAATTTAAATATCCACTTTTAGAAGTCTGGGTGAATCAATAATAGCACATCTATAAATTGTAATACTGGATAGTCACTAAAAAAGAATAGGGAGGTCTAAGGTATAATATAGAACAGTGACATGGAAAGAAATCCAAGATTGTCAAATAATAAATAGAAAATGCAATTAAGGAAACAATCCCATTTACCATTGCAACAAAAAGAATAAAATACCTAGGAATAAACCTACCTAAAGCGGTAAAAAACCTGTACTCAGAAAACTGTAAGATGCTGATGAAAGAAATCAAAGTTGAAACAGATGGAGAGATGTATACCATGTTCTTGGACTGGAAGAATCAATATTGTGAAGATGGCTATACTACCCACAGCAATCTACAGATTCAGTACAATCCCTATCAAATTACCAATGGCATTTTTCACAGAATTAGAACAAAAAATTGTACAATTGGTATGGAAACAAAAGACCCCAAATAGCCAAGGCAATCTTGAGAAAGAAAAACAGCTGGAGAAATCAGGCTCCCTGACTTCAGACTATACATCAAAGCTACAGTAATCAAGACAGAATGGTACTGGCACAAAAACAGAAATATAGATCAATGGAACAGGATAGAAAGCCCAGAGATAAACCCATGCACCTGTGGTCACCTAATCTGTGGCAAAGAAGACAAGAATATATAATGGAGAAAAGACAGTCTTTTCAGTAAGTTGTGCTGGGAAAACTGGACAGCTACATGTAAAGGAATGAAATTAGAACACTTCCTAACACCATATACAAAAACAAACTCAAAATGGATTAAAGACCTAAGTGTAAGGACGGACACTATTAAACTGTTAGAGGAAAAAACATAAGCAGAACACTCCTTGACATAAATCACAGCAAGATCTTTTTTGACCTACCTGCTAGAGTGATAAAAATAAAAACAAAAATAAATGGGACCTAATGAAACTTTAAAGCTTTTGCACAGCAAAGGAAACCATAAACAATACGAAAAGACAACCCTCAGAATGGGAGAAAATATTTGCAAATGAAGCAACTGACAAGGGATTAATCTCCAAAATATACAAACAGCTCATGCAGCTCAATAACAAAAAAAACCCAAACAATCAGAAAATGGGCAGAAGACCTAAATAGACATCTCTCCAAAGAAGACACACAGATGGCCAAGAGGCACATGAAAAGATGCTCAACATCACTAATTATTAGAGAAATGCAAATCACAACTACCATGAGGTATCACCTCACACCAGTCAGAATGGCCATCATCAAAAAATCTACAACAATAAATGCTGGAGACGGTGTGGAGAAAAGGGAACCCTCCTACACTATTGGTGGGAATGTAAATTGGTTGAGCCACTATGGAGAACAGTATGGAGGTTCCTTAAAAAACTAAAAATAGAACTACCATATGACCCAGCAATCCCATTCCTGGGCATATACCTGAAGAAAGTCATAATTCAAAAAGATACATACACCCCAGTGTTCATTGCAGCAGTATTTACAATAGCCAGGACGTGGAAGCAACCTAAATATCCATCGACAGATGAATGGATAAAGAAGATGTGGTATATATATACAATGGACTATTACTCAGCCATAAAAAGGAACGAAATAGTGCCATTTGCAGAGACGTGGATGGACCTGGAAACTGTCATACAGAGTGAAGTAAGTCAGAAAGAGAAAAACAAATATTGTATAATATCGCTTATATGTGGAATCTAGAAAAATGGTACAGATGAACTTTTTTGCAAAGCAGAAATAGAGACACAGTTGTAGAGAACAAACTTACAGATACCGAGGGGGGAAGGAGAGGATGGGATGAATTGGGAGATTGGAATCAACATGTATACACTACTATGTATAAAATAGATAACTAATGAGAACCTACTGTAGAGCACAGGGAATTCTACTCAGTGCTTTGTGGTGACCTAAATGGGTAGGAAATCTAAAAAAGGGATATATGTATACGTATATCTGATTCACTCTGCTGTACAGCAGAAACTAACACAACATTGTAAAGCAACTATACTCCAATAAAAAATAATTTAAAAAAAAACTATATCACAGACCTATTGAATATGTGGTTTAGAAATACACTAGTAATCATGTTGTGTGCTTTTAATTAAATGTTATTTCTCTTTTCCCTCAAAAAAAAAGGAACAAATGCAAATAGTGTGTATAGTATCTTGTTTTTGTTAAATTGTATAAAATGTTTGCGTATGCCTAGGGGAAAATTCTGGAAGTAAATACTGTAAACTGGAGAGTGGAATGGGATGTTTTCATTTTCTATTTTATACATTCCTGTTTTTGTTTAAAGTATTTACAAGGAATATGTATTCTGTAATAAATGTATTTTAAAAATTAAAAATTAGTAACATTAAAAAGTAAGCATAGGGAATTCCCTGGTGGTCCAGTGGTTAGGCTCCACGCTTCCATTAAAGGGAGCATGGGTTCGATCCCTGGTCAGGGAAAAGTAAGCATAAATTTGCCCCTCAGTTTTCTTCCAAAAATTGGACTGTTTAGTTAGTCTATTAACTAGATTGAGGGACTCACATAGAATTCTTTGAGTGTATTCTTGTTATTCTCAGTAAATTTTAATTAAATGGCATTTTTTTATCCAGGGTTTTTTCAGAATCTGGAAATTTCATTATAGTTCTCTATTCTGTGACACATAAGGATCCTGAGTTTTATGAATGCCTCCCTTGTGATGGCAGGTTACCTGACCTTCGATTCCAGCTACTAACTAGTAAGGAAACATTACATCTTTTCAAAGTAAGTGATTTGATTTCCTAGCACACTTATGACTATTCAGGGTTGTACTCAAATTATTAGGCTTTATTTATAATCAGTCTTACTAAATATTAACTTTATTCATTTATGGTTAATTTTGTTTTGTAAATTTTAGGCCATATCTCCAGAACCAAATTCTAATGCAGGATCAAACGTTATCTACAGAGTAACTTTCCCATGTTTTCCTAAAACCTTTGAAGACTATATCAAGAATTTAATGTATATGTTGTATCATTTTATGATACTGAGAGTTAATTTGTGATCTTAGTGTTTTCTTTGTCCTGATTGTTAATTTTTAAATGTATGGGTATAACAAATGGTTTCTCATACTTAAAAGTCAGTGTCTATAATATATAACCCTAGGAGTCAGAATAGATTAATATGACTGGCAAAAATATTCGTTTGGGTTTTTCTGTAAGATCTTATGGAAAAACCTGAAAGAACTTTTTGGCCAACCCAATACATTTAGGTGATGGTCGCAGAAAAAGTAGATCTTTGAAACCGTAAATGTCATTATGTAAAAATATTCTAAGGCCAAAAATGAACAATAATTCTGCTTTTTTTTTTTACAAAAATATTGACTATCCCGGGCTTCCCTGTTGGCTCATTGGTTAAGAATCTACTTGCCAATGCAGGGGACATGGGTTCAAGCCCTGGTCCCAGAAGATCGCACATGCTGTGGAGCAACTAAGCCCGTGTGCCACAACTACTGAGCCTGTGCTCTAGACACCGTGAGCCACAACTACTGAGCCCACGTGACGCGGCTACTGAAGCCCACGTGCCTAGAGCCCATGCTCCACAACAAGAGAAGCCACCGCAATGAGAAGCCCATGCACTGCAACAAAGAGTAGCCCCCGCTCGCTGCAACTAGCGAAAGACCACGCACAGCAACGAAGACCCAACACAGCCAAAAATAAATAAAATTAAAAAAAATTTTACTAGCCCTAAATAACCATGTGTTACCACTCAGATCTTATTTTGTGCCTTTAATTTCATTTATAGGTTGTATTGATTCATGAATCAAGTTTTTGTATTTTAATTATAAACATAATCATCTTAAATGAGGTCTATTTCCATTTTAGAGACATATCTCACATATATATCACTCATTTTATTCTTCAGATTGTATGCTCAGTTTAAAGTTACTATTTTAACTGAATCCCTGGTTATTGAGTAAGTTACATAGTAAAGATAATTAGGTTTTTACTTTCATTTATGTAGTAGGGAGACGGATAGTTTTTTTAAAAGGTTGCATAAAAATAGAACCATATGATTCAGCAATTCCACTTCTGGGTATTTATCCAAAGGAAACAAGAACACTAATTCAAAAAGATATGTGTACCACCATGTTAATTGCAGCATTATTTACAATAGCCAAGATATTAAAGCAACCTAAGTGTCCATGGATGGGTGAATGGATAAAGAAAATGTAATTTATCTTATATTATATTACATTATATCATATTATATTAATATAATGAGAAAATATTCAGCTGTAAAAAAAGGAAGGAAATCCTGCCATTTGTGACAACATAGATGGACCTCCAGGGCATTGTGCTAAGTGAAATAAATAAAACAGAGAAAGGCAAATACCATATGTCACTTATATGTGCAGTATTTAAACAACAACAAAAAAACATTTCATTGAACTCACAGACACAGAGAACAGATTGGTGGTTTGCAAGAGGTTGGGGGGGGGGGTTTGAGGGTGGCCAAAATGGCCAAAGGTGGTCAAAAGGTACAAACTTCCAGTTATAAAGTAAATAAGTAATGGGGATATAATATACAGCATGGTGAGTATAGTTAATAATGCTATATTGTATTTTGAAAGTTCTTTTTTTTTAAAATTTATTTATTTACTTTTTGGATGCGTTGGGTATTCGTTGCTGTGCGTAGGCTCTCTAGTTGTGGCGAGCAGGGGCCACCCCTCGTTGCGGTGTGCAGGCCTCTCATTGTGGTGGCCTCTGCCGTTGCAGAGCTCAGGCTCCCAGTGCACGGGCTCCAGCAGTTGTGGCACAGGGGCCAAGAAGCTGTGGCTCGTGGGCTTCAGAGCACAGGCTCAGTAGCTGTGGCGCATGAGCCCAGTTGCTCTGCGGCATGTGGGATACCCCCGGGACCACGGGTCGAACCCGTGTCCCCTGCATTGGCAGATGGATTCCCAGCTACTGTGCCACCAGGGAAGTCCTTGAAAGTTCTTATAAGAAAATATTTATCATTCTGCATGGTGATGGATGGTTAACTAGATTTATTGTAGTGTGTGTTTCACAGTATATTCAAATATTGAATCATTATGTTGTTCACCTGAAAGTATTATGTCATATGTCAATTATATCTCAGTTGAAAGAATTATTTTTTTTAAAAGATTATAGTTTCAGAAATCAGAAGTCGCCTTCCCCCCAGTGTTTCAGAGCTACTTGTCATCTAAATAGAATTCTCTGGTGTTTATGTAAGTCACATCTCAAAGTATGACGTACTTTATTTCAGAATGTTGAACCTTCTGACAAAAACCCAGTCTATTTTGAACTGAGTGCTGAAGGCCAGAATGCAGAAAGAGAGTTTTTTAACAAAGTTTCCAAGAATCTTTCAATTAAGAGGTAAAAGATATTTTATTGTCATGTGTACTTTTTAAATTAATTTTATTAGTTTTTTGGTGAGTAATTAAAGTAACTCCCTAAATATTTCTGAGGAAACTATTTGTAAATCTTTTACCATAGGTATCCTTGCTTTAAATGCATTCCTTCATACTCAGAAGTTGGATGATCATTTTAATGAAGTGACAACTCTAATATGGTTCTCATTTGAGTTGATTTATTACATAGGGGAACAAAAGTATTTGTCGAGACATTATCTTGTTTAAGAAGAAGCATCCTGTTTTTGTTTAGTTTGCCTTCTCTTCTTCCCTTCCTTGTAGTATTAAACCTAGGCCTATCAGATAAACTACTATAAAAAATAACTCCTCTACCTAAAAAAGAAAACTTTTAAAGCAAATGCACTTGGAGAATATTAAATAATGGTTGTGAATTTTTGGGTCCATATATACCTTTTATGGTAAAGTAGATATTTCCTTTGTATTAGGGTTCTCCAGAGAAACAGAAGCGACAGGATATATATACATAGAGAGATTTGTGTTAAGGAATTGATTTGTGCAGTTGGGGAGGCTTGTCGGGGCCAAAATCTGCAGTGTAGGCTGGCAGCCTAAGAAAAGTTGCAGTTAGAGTCCAAAGGTGGTCAGCTGGCAGAATTCCCTCCTCTTGGGGAGGTCAGTCTTTGTTCTATTAAGGCATTCAGCTGATTGGATGAGACCCACCCACATTATGGAGGATTATATGCTTTACTCAGAGTCTACCGATTTAAATGTTAATCTCATCTTAAAAATACCTTCACAGAAACATCTAGAATAATGTATGACCAAAAATCTGGCTACTGTGGCCTAGCCAAGTTGACACATAAAATTAACCCTTCATATCCCTATTCTAGCTTTCTCATTTATTTTACTATGTGCCTGATAATGTGCTAAGAGCTGGGGATATAGTGGTATTAAAAACAGATGCAGACACGATCCCTTTCCTCATGGAATTTATAGTTCAGTAATAGAGTGTTGAATTCTCTGTATTATTTGAGAGGTTCATTAATTTAAGTTAATATTTGCCAAGTATTTAATAACCTCATTTAAAAGTTACTTTGGAATGCTGGTTTATTCTTTGATTCTGTAGCTCAGAAACTTGTTATTTTTAACTTGCACTTACAACTGATTTGTCCTTTTCTCAACTTTTTGATTATAACCTTAACCTATCTTTGGGCCTCTTTAATACTATCTGTTTAGTATCTTGTATGAGAAACAAGCAGGTATAAGGTTCATTATAGATTATTGCAATTATTGCGAAAATAGCTTCACCTTTTCTTTTTTTTTGGCCGTGCCGCCTGGCACGCAAGATCTTAATTCCCCGAACAGCGATCAGACCCGTGCCCCCTGCATTGGGAGCACTAAGTCTTAACCACTGGACCACCAGGGAAGTCCCTAGCTTGACCTTTTTTTTTTTTTGCGATACACAGGCCTCTCACTGTTGTGGCCTCTCCTGTTGCGGAGCACAGGCTCCGGACGCGCAGGCTCAGTGGCCATGGCTCACGGGCCCAGCCGCTCCGCGGCATGTGGGATCCTCCCGGACCAGGGCACGAACCCTTGTCCCCTGCATTGGCAGGCGGACTCTCAACCACTGCGCCAGCAGGGAAGCCCCTTGACCTTTTTTAAATAGCATTCATTCATCTGTCCTTAACACTTGATTCTGTAGGTGGAAGTTAACTATGATACAGTTTTAAAATAAGTGCCAGATATGCCAACTATTTATAGAGGCTACAACATAATAGTTGTGAGTTCAGGTTATGGTATAAGACATATATGTGTTCAAGTCTTGGTTGTAAACATCACTATCCCATCTGTAAAATGGGAATTATGACTATATCCATATTGGTTTCCTATTGCTGTTCTAACAAAGTACCACAAACTTAAGTGACTTCAAACAATACAAAGTTATTATCTTCTAGTTCTGGGGGTCAGGAGTCCAAAATGGATCTTTGGGGCTAAAATCAAAGTGATGGTAGGGCTGCATTCCTTTTGGAAGCTTTAGTGGTGAATCCATATTCCCTTTTCCAGCTTCTAGAGGCCACCTGCATTCCTTGTCTTACTCCATCTTCAAAGCTAGCAGCATAGCATCTTCAAATCTCTCTCTGACTTCTTCTATCCTCCTCATATCTCCATCTCTGCCTGACCATCTTGCCTCCATCTTATAAGGACCATTGTGATTACATTGAGCCTCCACATCTCAAGATACTTAATCATATCTGCAAACTCCCTTTTTCCTTTTACACTAACATATTCACAGGTTCTGGGGATTAGAAAGATGTCTGAGGTATATGCTATCTTTGGGCATTTTAAGTTGTTCTTTTTTTTTTTTTTTTAGAAGATGTTGAGGAGTTTTTTTTTTTTTTTTTTTTTGCTGTGTTGGGTCTTCGTTTCTCTGCGAGGGCTTTCTCTAGTTGCGGCAAGTGGGGGCCACTCTTCATCGCGGTGCGTGGGCCTCTCACTATCGCAGCCTCTCTTGTTGCGGAGCACAGGCTCCAGACTCAGTAGTTGTGGCTCACGGGCCTAGTTGCTCTGCGGCATGTGGAATCCTCCCAGACCAGGGCTCGAACCCGTGTCCCCTGCATTAGCAGGCAGATTCTCAACCACTGCGCCACCAGGGAAGCTGTTAAGTTATTCTTGAAGCGGGTTAGATCAGCAGAAAACTATATTCTTACAGACTTGCAGGACCACCTTCATTGTCTTAAGGTTTAAGGTTTTATTCAAGATTTTATTGAGTGTTTATGGAAGAAAAAGCCAAATTAAGGGGGCACTTGGAATTTCTTTAACATTGTTGAAAAACCGTGTCTGTTTTCTTTTTTTATTTATTAATTAATTTATTAATTTACTTATTTATGTTTGGCTGCATTGAGTCTTCGTTGCTGCGCATGGGCTTTCTCTAGTTGCAGCGAGCGGGGGTTGCTCTTCATTGCGGTGGCTTCTGTTGTGGCCAAGCACAGGCTCTAGGTCCACAGGCTTCAGTAGTTGTAGCACATGGACTCAGTAGTTGTGGCTCTTGGGCTCTAGAGTGCAGGCTTAGTAGTTGTGGTGCACAGGCTTAGTTGCTCCGCGGCATGTGGGATCTTCTGGGACCAGGGCTCGAACCTGTGTCCCCTGTATTGGCAGGTGGATTCTTAACCACTGCACCACCAGGGAAGTCCGGCCGTGTCTATTTTCAACTCTGACCAAAGCTTTGATAAGGATCAGTTATTTTTACTCTTTTTTTTTTTTTTTTTTTTTTGCGGTACACGGGCCTCTCACTGTTGTGACCACTCCCTTTGCGGAGCACAGCCTCCGGACACGCAGGTTCAGCAGCCATGGCTCCCGGACCCAGCCGCTCCACGGCATGTGGGATCTTCCCGGACCGGGGCACGAACCCGTGTCCCCTGCATCGGCAGGCGGACTCTCAACCACTGCGCCACCAGAGAAGCCCCAAGAATCACTTATTTTTAGATTTTAATTTTAATAAAATGTTTATCTTACCTAGATAACTGGTATTAAAATTATACAACATTAAGTTTTTTCTTTTTGTCTTGGGTGCTAAAAAAGCTCAGAAATGAATATTTTTTGTTTTTTGTGTTTTTTTGGCTGTGCCACACAGCATGTGGGATCTTAGTTCCCTGACCAGGGATTGAACCTGCACCCCTTATAGTGAAAGCACAGTCTTAACCACTGGATGGCCAGGGAAGTCCCTCAGAAATGGATTTTATTGCTCAGCGTTGGGAAATTTTATATATGTGTATCTATGTGTATATTTGTATATGTTTATCATAAGTAAGTATGTAGCAAATATTAATTCCTTGCCACAAACTCAGGTGTACCAAAAATGTAACTTTTTTTGTTTTTATTCTTTTCTCTTTTTTGGTGCAGCATGTGGGATCTTAGTTCCCCAACCAGGGATCGAGCCCGATTCCCCAGCATTGGAAGTGCAAAGTCTTAACCAGTCGACCACCAGAGAAGTCCCCTACTTTTCTTCTTTTTAAAAGTAATTGAGGGAATTCCCTGGTGGTCCAGTGGTTAGGACAGCGTGCTTTCACTGCTGGGGCCTGGGTTTGATCCCTGGTTGGAGAACTAAGATCCCACAAGCCGTGCGGTGCCACAGCCAAAAAAAAAAGTAATTGAAATTAATTTCTATTTTGAGCCCCTATTCATTTTGCTCAGTTATAGAAGCCAAATTTCAGTTAATTCAAGGTTTGTTTATTCTGTTTCTTCTGAGATTATATGTAATTTAGAGGGGACTAATGCTCTGCCACTACTGGTGATGTGGGGTGACATGATTATCATCCATCCACACCACTCAGCCATCTGCTGAGGTGTTTTCTTTCTTTCTTTCTTTCTTTTTCTTTCTTTCTTTCTTTGGTTGCACCAGGTCTTAGTTGCAGCAGGCAGACTCCTTAGTTCTGGCTTGCGGGCTCTATAGTTGCCGCTTGCTGGCTCCTTAGTTGAGGCATATATGTGGGATCTAGTTCCCTGACCAGGGATCGAACCCAGGCGCCCTGCATTGGGAGTGTGGAGTCTTACCACTGCGCCACCAGGGAAGTCCCTGAGGTGTTTTCATTTGCATCTGGTTTTTGGCAGTTGGTTTGTGCAGGATCCTGCTGCGACCTCCTTACCCTATTCAGGTCACTGGCTCTCTGGGTCATGCCCATGCTGCACTGAGGCATATGGAATATCATTCTGTATTCTCCATGTCCTTCTTGGGTGTGGGAGGAGAGCTTTGTGAGATTGTTTCATTGCAGCACCTTGGCACAGAAAGAACTCTGTGTTTGCCTCTACAGACTATCAGGGTTTGGGACTAAGGTCTATTCTGCTGTCAAATCTTCCATATCTACTTGGGGGTTTCTGTTGTTCTCCTGCTAAGGAGACAGGACCCTTTCTTAGGAGTTCCATTGATGTCTAAGCTCTCTTAGCTTCCTTCTGGCTTTTCTTTTGTCTTCCTTACCTCATCTACTGAGATTTTATTTAGTTTAGGATGGAAAAAAACTGGATGTGTATAGTCTTTCAAATTTTAGTCTTAAACTCTAATTTCAGCTTTTGAAACTCAGTACCAGCACTTAAAATTTTTCTATGTTCTACTGGGACATGGCACCTGTGACACAATAACTTCAACTGACTAAATGGAAGGAGGTATTTCCATTAATGTCTCAGAGTTTTTTACCATCACAGATAGAGGTACATAGAAAATGTAATTCCTTACTTGATTTTTCTTTCTAACACAGTGTTTAATGCAGTATGTTTAATACAGTGAGTATACATTTCTCTTATCAGATAATAAATTTTTGATGGCAAGCTCTGTATCTTATTAATTTCTATACTCCCCTAAGTGATTAATCAGAAAATGCTCAGTAACTATTGCTTTATTATGACATTAAGATTATCTGGGTTATGGATGCAACTAGAGATAATCATACTAAGTGAAGTAAGTCAGAAAGAGAAAGACAAATACCGTATGATGCCACTTATATGTGGAATCTAAAATATGACACAAATGAACCTATCTGTGAAACAGAAACAAAATCAGGGACGTAGAGAACAGACTTCTTGTTGCCAAGGGGGAGGGGGGCGGGAGAAGTTTGGGTTAGGAGTTTGGGATTATCAGTGCAAACTGGTATATATAGAATGGATAAACAACAAGATCCTACTGTGTATAGGATATTCTGGTCCTACTGTGTATAGCACATTCAGTATCCTGTGATAAACTATAATGGAAAAGAATATGGAAAAGAATGTATGTGTGCCCGCACGTGCGTGTGTGTGTGTGTGTGTGTGTGTGTGTGTGTATAGATAGATAGATAGATAACTGAGTCACTTTGATGTACAGCAGTAATTAACAACATTGTAATTCAACTATACTTCAATTAAAAATAAATTAAAAAAAAGAATAACTGGGTTAAACTTGCCATGATCAGGAGAAGAGGGTAAATTATTAAGCATGAGTCTGACTGGCTCAGCTTTCCTGATCATCTGGCACTGGCCTGAAAAAATAAAATAATTTTTGGTTGTCAGATACTAAATTAAATGATCCAGATACTATTGTGGCTTATTAAAGGACTTTATTGAGCTTCAGAAAGAAAGAACAAATGAAAACTAAATTACTGAAGATTTATATTTTCTCCCCTCTGTTCTTTAGGTCTTCTCAAAAGTTACCTCCAGGGAAAATGCCAATAAGTGATCATGACTCTGGTGTTGAAGATGAAGATGTTTCTCCAAGACCAATTCCTAGTCCTCATCCAGTGAGTCAGAAGGTATCACTGATCTTAGAACTCACCTTTGTGATTAGAAACCTAAAAGTCTCTTCATGTTAAAGCACTCAATAATATTACCTAAAATTTCCTTAAGTTCATTCTAAGATATCTATAGCTATCTATATGTATATGGCTTTGACTATATATAAAGAGATATATATATATTCCTCATAGGTACATATAATTATTATATGTAATAATATATATGAATATGTACACATATTGTAATAAGTATATATAATTATTATTCCCAGAGAAAACTGAGGAACAGATTGGTTAAGTTACCTGCCTAGGATTATATAACTATTAAGTAGTAAAGCTGGAATTCAGGAAGTTTGGGATTTGGTAAACCTAGTGATTTAGGAGGTTTAGTTTCAGAATCTGGTGCTTTTAACCCATATAGACACAACATTCTGTACATTAACCAGAGCTCAACATCGTTTCTTATTACCATATTCTGAGAAAACATTCTATTTCCTTTTGGAGATTGCTAATAACCTGCCATAATTTTTTTATTGAGGCCAACTAGTGGGTTATTTTAGAATTGTTGTGTCTTAATTACTTATTAGAAGAAAAAGGTATGAGAAAGGCTTTTTAAAATTAATATTAAATTATAACCAAATTCGCCACAGCTAGTATTTTGTTTATTCTTTTTGGCTCTCTTCCAACTCTTTTAGTTGCTATCAGTAAAAAGAATAGCAGTGAATAATTTCACTTAGTAGAATATTCTGAATACTTATTGGAAGACCCTTATTTAAGATGCAGAAACATTATTCTTTACTAGATGTGTTGAAGCATCAGGTCTGATAATTTTTTTTTCAGAGAGGGTAAAAAGAGGTCTGTTATAACATAGTTTCCCATATTGTGTTCTGTGATCTAAGCAACATTAATCAGTGTTCCAGTGAAAGGAGTTTCATTGTTAAATAAGTTTGTGAGGGCAAGGACCTTATTTATTTTGTTCACAGTTGCATTTCTAGTACTAGCACATAGATGCCCAGAAAATATTTGTTAACTGTCTAAATAAAGAATAAACACTTTTTAATAAATAACTGGATGTAATTTGGAAAATACTAATCAAAGGAAAATGAAGCATATATCATTATCCTAAAAGGTACTTTTTCCTCTTTAATTTCTTTCCCACTTACAGGTTTCTAAGATCCAGCCATCAGTTCCTGAACTTTCACTTGTATTGGATGGCAACTTCATAGAATCAAACCCTGTGCCTAACCCATTGGAAATGGTGAATAATGAAAATCCTCCTTTGTTGATTAACCATTCTGAACACTTTGAGCCATTGCAACCGCAGCTTTATGATGAGAAACACAGCCCAGAAGTTGAAGCTGGAGAGCCTTCCGTGAGAGGGCTACCAAATCAATTAAACCAGGACACTGCTCCTTTGAGACACTGCAAAGTAAGACGGCCATCTACCTGTAAGAAAGGGAACAACCCCCATATCAGGAGCAGTGTTACACCATCTTCTTTTAATGGACCGTCTCCTGAGGCATCTGAAAAGCTTCAAACAGTTTCTGCTGGAAATGTACACAAAGAAGAGTATCCTGTAAGATCCTCCACATTTAATTCCAGGCAGTCTTCCTTTGCCCCACAGTCCCACCCACACAATTTTGTTTTTTCACCCCATAATTCAGGAAGACCAATGGAATTTCAGATACCTACTCCCCCACCACCATCTTACTATTCCACAAATGTTTGCAATTGTTTTCAGCATCATGGCTGTATTCAATATAGTCCAATAAATTCTTGGCAAGGAATGAATACAGTAGGATCCACTCAAGACCTCCAGTCTGAAGCCCTTCAAAAACATTCATTATTTCATCCAAGTGGATGTCCAGCTCAGTATAATGCATTCTGTTCCTCAAGTAGTCCTGTAGCCTTGAGACCTCAGGGAAACATGGGGGATTGTTCTTCCCACAGCAATGTAGAACCATCGCCTGTGGCAAGACTACCTCCACACGTGGACTCATGTAACCCATGGCCTTGTGCAGTATGCGTGCACACCCCCAAGACTGGGTCAGATAATGGAATGATGGGACTATCTCCGGATGCGTATAGGTTCGTCACAGAGCAAGACAGACAGCTGCGACTACTTCAGGCACAGGTTTGCTAGCTTTCTTCTGTTAAATTCTTGGTATTAATAGGGTTTTGAAAAAATAACTGGCAACTCTTCAGTAATTATAGTTTATGGAGTAGAATTGTAGAATGTCAGAACTAGAAGAGACCTTGGAAACTGAATTCTAGTCCCTGTTTTACAGGTAAGTAAAATGAGGATTAGAGAGAAAAAATAATTTACCCAATGACACATTGCTAGTTAGGAGTAGAACTAGGCCTAGAAAGCAAGTCCTCTCTTCTCTGTCTTGTGCATATCCTAACCTACAACATAATTGTATTTTTCTTTCACTTTTTGCCTCTAATGAGAAGTCTGTATAATTTACTAAACTCTATATACAACTAAATATAAAGCCTGCACAGTAGGTTCTGATACTCTGTAGTTTGTCAACCCTATAGTGTGTAAACTAACCTTTAGCCAGTGTACCCTTACAGAGTACATGTAGTGCCGCCTCTGTGTATCTATACTAGGCTTGTTCTACTCATTTTATTCTGAAATGCTTCCTTTCTTCAGGCCTTTATGACAAAGTTCTTAGTCTTTTAATTATATCCTTGCACAGTTTAGTCTTTATTGTATTGTGTCTTTTTCTTTCTTTGCTAACTGACACCCTTCTTCCACATACCTACCGCAAACCCCCCACTCCTTCCTTTCCCCGTGGTACCAATGGAAACAACCTGAAGTAGATACTTTCATAGTTTTTTCCATGACCCTATAACTATACTAATATATGTAAAATGGACATATATACATGTGTGATTTTTTTTTTAAAAGTCTTTTATAAAATTGGGGTCATAGTGTTCGCATTTTGCAAAAACAAGATAATGACATTTTTCAAATTCTGCTTTAAAATGCTTTAGATAAGACACCCAAGAAAAATTCGGCTTTGCTGTTTTTTTGAACCCAGGTATATCCTCTGAAATTGTAAAATGTAACAAAAGATTATAAACATTTGGCAGAATTTTTAATGTGGCTAAATATTTCACATTGAAAAGAAATTTTTCTTTCTTTCTGGTCTTTTTTTTTTGCGGTATGCGGGCCTCTCACTGTTGTGGCCTCTCCTGTTGCGGAGCACAGGCTCTCGACGCGCAGGCTCAGCGGCCATGGCTCACGGGCCCAGCCGCTCCGCGGCATGTGGGATCTTCCCGGACCGGGGCACGAACCCACGTCCCCTGCATCGGCAGGTGGACTCTCAACCACTGCGCCACCAGGGAAGCCCTTGATCTTGTTTTTTGAAAAAAGATAATAGCGGCTAAAAAGGTCTTCTAAGCTATTTAGAAATCTTAGTACTTGGGATTTATATACTTAAAATGTAAATTATAGACTACTGGCTCTGGTGTAGATTATGAGTCATACTTGGAGAACACAAAAGATGATGTAGAAAATGCTTCTATGATAAATTCACATAGTATTTTGCTAACATATTTTTTAAAACTTTTTTAAGGTAACATCTTATTTAACTTTTTTTTTAAACTTTTTTTTTTAAGATGTTTTTGATGTGGACAGTTTTTAAAGTCTTTATTGAATTTCTTACAGTATTGCTTCTGTTTTATGTTTTGTTTTTTTGGCCACGAGGCATGTGGAATCTTAGCTCCCCGACCAGGGATCAAACCTGCACCCCCTACATTGGAAGGCAAAGTCTTCTTAACCACTGGACTGCCAGGGAAGTCCCTATTTAAATTTTTTGAGAGTATCATAACATTTTCTATATACGTTTCTATAGAACTGTCTTATTCTGCATAGGATTCCCTTGTTATGTACAAGAAATCGTCTAATTGGTCTCTTATCAATTATTTCAGCAGTTTGAAGTTTCTGCTTTTGTAAACAGTGCAGCAGTGAACACCCTTATATACAGAAGATATACAGAAGATACTTGTATCTTCTGTATATATGCATGTACCACTGTGGCATAGATCTCTAGAAGTAAAATTTTGAAGTCAAAGGGAACACACATTTAAATGTTCAAAGGTACCCAAACTTGCTCCTCTTCTAATATTCAAAGTCTTATTTTGGTGTAGTGGTTAAAGAGAGTGGACTCCTTGGGTTCTAATCCAATTTTGGTGTGACGTAAGTTATACAATCTTGGGCAAGTTACTTTATGTGTCTGACTTAAGTTTTCTCATCCACAAAAGAGGAATACATAAGTGTATGGAGTTCTAAGGGCTGAATGAGTTACTAGGTAGGGGCCAAGAATAGTGCCTGGCATATAGTGCTCAGTAAATGTTAACTATTATTATTATTTTCATTATCGTTACCATCTCAGTTAATGACATCACTTCTCATCCTGCTGCTCAGGCCAAAATCCTATGCATAAAAACCAAGGCTTTTACTTTTCTAGCTGTATCCTGAACTTAACTATTCTTTACCATCTTTCCTGCTACCACCCTAATTCAAACCATCATTTTCTCTTCTCCATACATGCTGCTTCCAGTACTGTTCCCTCATGTTTTCCTGCAGTTGGAAACATGAGAGCCATCTTTTTAAAAGCCCAAGTCAGATCATAGGGATCCTGCTTAAAACACAATGGTTTTCCATTGCAATTAAAATAAAATCAAAATTTCTTACCTTGACCCTCAAAATCCTTTGGGTTCATCTTCTGTCTCCCTCTCCTCGCTCATCTCTTGCCACTGTCTTCCATGTTGACTACACTTCAGCTGCAGTGGTATGCTTTTTGTTCTTCAAAAACACAAACATCTTTCCACTTTATGTGCTTAAGCTTCTAGTCCCCTTTGCCTGAAACATTCTTCTAATTCTACTAATGGCTAGCTCTTTCTCATCATTCAGTCAGGCCTTAATTACATGTTTTAGTTTTTTGTCTCTAGGGAGCTCTAAGCAGGGAGCTTCATCACTGTATTCTTTAGCACCTTGAATAATACTTCACTTAAAACAGTTGTTCAGGGCTTCCCTGGTGGCGCAGTGGTTGAGAGTCCACCTGCCGATGCAGGGGACACGGGTTCATGCCCCGGTCCGGGAAGATCCCACATGCCGCGGAGCGGCTAGGCCCGTGAGCAATGGCCGCTGAGCCTGCATATCCAGAGCCTGTGCTCCGCAACGGGAGAGGCCACAACAGTGAGAGGCCCGCGTACTGCAAAAAAAAAACAAAAAACAAAAAACAGTTGTTTAATACATATTTTGTAACTTGAATGAGTGAAAAAGGCCACCAGAAAGGCTATACCAATTTAATACTTGAAAATTTTTCCCATGTCTCTAATACTGGACATATCTACTCTTAAAATTGTTATCAGTCTTTATTAATAGAAATGTTTGATTTGCATTGTATTATTATGAGTGATCATTTTATTGTTTATTGGCCATTTGTATTTTCTTTCTATAAAGTCTCTGCTATTTACCCATTTTTCTATTAAGTTCTTTTCTAATCAATTTATAAGAGCTTATTGTATATTAAGGAAATTGGTTCTTTATCATCTGTATGTGGTATTTCTTACAGTTTGTCTTAAGTGTTTTGTGTTTTAATCATTTGTACAGAATATTCCAGCTTAGACATAATTAGATTTATCAGTCATTTTCTTTTTGGGTTTTGTATTATGTTTAGAAGAGCCTCTTCCCTTTAAGATCATAAAAAATTTAGTCTTCATTACCACCACGCCCCCAGGATTATATTTGTTGCTTTATTTTGGTATATGAGATAAAAGATTTTTTTATTTTTAATCCTTAGATGACTGACTCCATATATTTACTGAATAATATATCTTTTTGTTAGTGATTTAGAAATGCATTTTTTATTGTATAATTAAAGTATCATGTGTTTGTATCTGTTTCTGTACTGTGTTCCCCATTGATCTGCCTGTCTATTCCAGCACTATTACCATTCAGTTTAATCTCTATAGCTTTATAATAAATCTCTTATCGAGTACTTCCTAGGCAGTCTTTCTAAACCTCACTTTTCTCAGCTGTAAATTGAGGGCAGTGATTGGTATTATATGTAGATTTGATGGTTAAATGAATTTATATGTATATGTATATATATTCACACACACACACACCTGTCAGTCTAGATAAAGTGCTTACTGTAGGATGAGGCTATAGTAAACACTCAACAAATTACAGTTATTTTGTTTATTTCTTAGTCCTCACAACAACCTTAGTTTTAGGTAATGTTGAAGCTCATAGTAGCTAAATAGCTTTTCCAAACGGTAGCAGAGTAGGATTTAAACTTATATCCTCATGACACTAAAGCCCATGCTCCAAACCACTATAAGTACATATGCCACTTTGTATTATTAATGCAGGTCGTATTTCTATTGATCTCAACAATTATTGATAATACTTATTTTCCTATATTAATAAAGTTAATCTACTAAAGTTAATGAGTTGAACACAACAGTATAACTTACAGGGAAATAGAAAATTACAGTGTTTAAAAAGGGAGGCTTTTCCACTCCTAGGTGTATATCCAGGGGAAATGAAAAAATATGTTCACACAAAAACTTGTATACACATGTTCATAGCAACATTATTTATAATAGCCAAGGATGAAATAATCCAAAGTCTATCAACTGATGAATAGATGAACACAGTGTGACATTATCTGTACAATGGAATATTTCAGTCATCAAAAGGAATGAAGTACTGATAGGTACTACAGCACAGATGAACTTTGAAAACGTTATGCTAAGTGAAAGAAGCAAGATGTAAGGCCACATATTGTTTGGTTTCATTTATATCAAATGTCCAGAATAGGCAAATCTACAGAGACAGAAAGTAGATTAGTTGCTGCCAAAGGCTAGGTTCTGGGGCCATGGAGAGTGACAGCTAATGGGTACAGAGATTTTTCGGGGGTTGATGAAAATATTGTAGAGTTAGATGGTGGTGATGGATGCAGACTTTGTGAATATCCTAAAAACTATGGAATTGTATACTTCAAAGGGATAAGTTTTATTGTATGTGAATCACATCTCAATTTTAAAAGGAGGAGGGGAAGCTTTTGGTGTTTGAACTTCAGCTTTGCTACTTGTTAGTTATGTGATCTGGGCAAGTAACTTTATTTTTAGTGCCTCAAGTTTTTTTCTGTGTAAAGTGTGCTTAATAGTAGTACGTTCTTCATGGAGTCATTGTAAAAATCATACATAAGAGCTCTTATTGTAGTGTCTTGTAAACAGGAAGCACTCAGTGTTAGAGACTGTTATTAATATTTCCAGTTTCAGCATGACCAAATGCGGGCAATTCTGGTTAGCTTTTATAAGATGAATCTTGTGTAAAAAATTGTTCAAATTTGGTATATGGAGTTAGAGTATGCCTCCTATCTTACTTTTGGTTTGTAAGTGAAATAGGAATAAAATGTTTGAAGTGTTAACATTAAGGCTTTTCTATGTGAGTGTCAATTTATGAATGCTAATCTAAACACCTGTATGTTTTTATTTTTAAATTTATAGATAGCCCACTTAAGTTCTTAATAACTAATGACAATGATTTTCGACATTGATTAAGTTTTATGGTATAATGTAGTTGAAATGTGAGAAAATATAGTTAAAAGTCAGTTATTTATAACGGGGGCACTTTGTAATTCATTTTTAAACTCTTATGCCAGTTTGGTTGATTACTTCACTGTCAGTGTAAAGTATGTTTTTAATTGATACAGATTCAGCGTTTGTTGGAAGCACAGTCTCTGCAGCCCTGTTCCCCTAAGACAACCACTGTTGAAGACACAGTGCAAGCTGCCAGACAAATGGAGTTGGTTTCCATGGAAGCACAATCTCCCCCTGCTTTGCACATGAGAAAAAGTGTAAGCATTGCTGTAAGCACAGGTAATTTCATTTTTTAAATTTGTACATGGTACACATAATGTCAAAACCAAGGTGATGAGAGTATAACTTAAGTCTTTGTGTAATTTTACTCTTTCTGAAAACTATACCTGAAAACAGATTGGAAACCATATAACATAATATATTGTTTGTTTTTGCTGCTTTCTCAAGATGAACCCCCAGTTCTAATGAGAGAAGTCATCTGTGGTTTGAGGGATCAGGGAAGGTTTCATCTATGCAGTGTTATTGATTCTGGGCTTTGAAGGGAATGTAGAATCTTGGTGGAATTGAGAGATGGCAGAACAGATGGTAGAGAAAATAGGGCTCAGTGGGGAAACACAGGGTTCTGAGTTGTCTGGTACTCTACACATTACTGTGTCATGGAGAGGCTTTACTGCATATTTCACAAAGCCATGTCTACTTCATTTGGTAAGCAAAATAGAAGGCCTTTTTTTTTTTTAATTTATTTTTGGCTGTGTTGGGTCTTTGTTGCAGCACGCGGGCTTTCTCTAGCTTCGGCGAGTGGGGGCTACTCTTCATTGCGGTGTGCAGGCTTCTCGTTGCGGTGGTTTCTCTTGTTGTGGAGCACGGGCTCTAGGCGCGCGAGCTTCAGTAGTTGTGGCACGCAGGATCAGTAGTTGTGGCGCACAGGCTTAGTTGCTCCGCAGCATGTGGGATCTTCCCGGACCAAGGCTTAAACCCGTGTCCCCTACATTGGTAGGTGGATTCTTAACCACTGCGCCACCAGGGAAGTCCCGACATTTGATTTTTAAATACTCGCCTGATATTATGTATGTCTGATACATCTCTAATATAGCATCATAAATATTGTATTTAAGAATCAAAATCAGAGAGCCTAGGGATTTGCATTTTATATATTTTCTCCTGTTTTTCAGAACAGTAGTTTTCAAAACACATATACACCCCAAATCATATTTAGAACCTTGATAGGTAAAACACATCATTTGAGAGCCACACCTCTTGAAGAGGTAGGGCCCAGAATGTCCTCTTTCCCTTTGTACCCCAGTTTTCTCTCTTTTCACCTTTCACTTACCTCTTCATGGCATTTCTGAGAAAATATAATCTGAAAACAGTTCTGGGTAATTGTGTTAAACTAATATAGCTAGTGTTACTTAACAAAGGTTTGTCAGAGAATTATTTTTATAAGTGAATGTTTGTTTCAGTATCTGTTAAATCATCTAACGTCTAGGTGCCAGCTTGTTTTGGAATGTGGCAGGTGATGATCAAGAGCCTGAATCTCAGCTGAGACAAGATGATACCAAGATTTCCAGTGAGGACATGAATTTTTCTGTCGATATTAATAATGAAGTCACAAGTACTCCTGGTAGTGCATCTTCATTAAAAGCTGTTGATATTCCCAGTTTTGAAGAGAGCAACATTGCTGTGGAAGAATTTAATCAGCAACTTTCTATATCCAAGTAAGATCTCTTTGATTCAGTATTCATCTTACCTCTTTTTTTCTTTTTAAATTCTAATATTCTTCTGGTACTCTAACTCAGAAACTGTTTGTTTTCTAAAAGTATTTTCATTGGTGTCTTTCCTAATGTGATTCCTATGTAACAGACAATTCTTTTCTCTTTTTTTTGAATTTTCTTTTTTGGCCGCATTGCGTGGCATGCGGGATCTTAGTTCCCTGACCAGGGATTGAACCTGTGCCCCCTTCAGTGGAATCGAGGAGTCCTAACCACTGGACCATCAGGGAATTCCCTGTAACAGATAATTCTGAGCTTTCTAGAACCATTCCCAGATGTCGCTCACTGGATGTGTAAAACAGTCTGACTGAATCAGAACATTTGAAGAAAATTTCAAAAATATGTATGCTCAGGCCTCACTGTAGAGATTCTGATAACACTAGATCCCAGTTGGAGCTGGGGTCCTGAATTTTGTAAATTTTTAAAGATCTGCCATATTGCAATTATATATGTATAGCTAAGTCTTTATTTCTGAGAGATACAACCTGTTACCTGAGATATACTTCAGAATAAGCTGGTGGGGATGAAATGGCTAGGGGTATAGTTGAAGTAAGGTAGACTGAGTAGGTAATTTTAAAAAGTGATGGTACATAGTGATTTGTTAAACTATTCCCTCTTGTGTCTGAAATTTTTCATTATGAAATTTTCATTAAAAAAAGATAAGGATTGTGAAGTAATTTAGATCCTTAGCAAATTTGGAAATAAACTCAACAAATATTCTTTGAGTTTCTGGTATGTGCTGCCACAGAACTAGGCCCTAGAGATTGAGCAGTAGGTCAGACAAAGCTCCTGACATCATGGAATTTCCATGAGTTGTAGAGACAAACAGTAACCACATCGGCAGGAAATCATATAATTTCATATAATGACAACTGCCTGAAGAAAATAAACCAGGGTGACCAAGTGGAGTGTAACTGGGATAGTGGCATGGGAGTGAGGAGGCATTATTAAGTAGGGTGGTGAAAGAAGCCTTCCCTGAGGGGGTAACATTTGAGCAGTGGCTTGAATGATGAGAAGAAGCCAACCATGACAATATCTGGCAAAGAGTGTTCCAGGTGGAGGAAATGGCAAGTGTAGACCCTGAGGTGTGCCTGAGCTTGAGAGTTCCAGAAACAAGCAGGAAAGCCATTGTGGCTGAACTTAGTGACTGAGAGAGCACAGGAAATATGGTCAGAGATAACAGGCAGGAACCAAATTATGTAGGGCTTTGTAGGTTGTAAAAAGGAGTTCTGAATTTATTTTGTGTTCATTAGAACCAGGGAGGATTTTAAATGATGGGCTGGTATGATCTGATTTTCTTTTTTTAAAGGCCATTCTAGCTGTTTTGTGGCAAGTGAACTGATGAGGATTAAGAGTGGAAGTAGGGAGACTCGTTAATAGACTAAAGACCAAGTGAGGTGAAGGTGCCTCGGAATTGACTGTGGTGGAAGGGATCAGGTGTAGAATAAATGTTAAAGGTAGTGCAATAATGTAAGTTAAAACACTACAGGGTAATATATCACATGAAACAGTTTTAAAAGAGGTGAATTCAGTGGTGGGGGTGGCATGGGGCAGGCCGTTGATTACTTTTTAAAATTATAAGCCTTTTGATAATATTTGACATTTTAAATTATTCTGGTTACAATAATGATTAAAACAATAAATACACCCCTCCAGAAAACTAGAAATATTTATCTGCTTTGCTCAGTAGAGTATATGTCTTAACCTTACAATTCAATTAAGTACTCATAGTATGTACCACAAGTGTATTAAAAAGATCTGTATATGTGTCTCCCCGACTAGACTGAATTCCTACAGGATAGGGATCCTACTCATTTCTATATCTTTAGGACTTGACCCAGTGTCTGGTTCCCCATGTTAGCTCCTTCATAAACGTTCAGTGATAGGAAGAGCAATTTGGGGTGAGCCCCAAAATAAGTCCACATTTTATTTGGAATAATTATAGAAACTGAGAACAAAGAGGCATGAACTGTGGTTATCCTTATTTATTCTCCCTAACTTCTGTAAACTGTAGACTATCAGGAATTAGGAGGTTTTACCCCTGAAGTAGTTTTTAAGTCAGAACTTTAAAAAGTCTCCAATCCAGGGACTTCCCTGACAGTCCACTTGTTAAGACTTTGCCTTCCAATATAGGGAGTGTGGGTTTGATCCCTGGTTGGGGAGCTAAGAGCCCACATGCCTCTTGGACAAAAAAACAAAACATAAAACAGGAGCAATGTTGTAACAAATTCAACAAAGACTTTAAAAATGATCCACATCAAAAAAAAAAAAATCTCCAAGCCATTTTGGTTTTTAACTTCAGAAACAGATCTGAGTTCATTGATAGAATGCAGTTAATTGCTTTTTCAGGGCAATTAACTAACTCTGTTGATTCCAACATATAACAGATGTAAATCTGATTTTTGTTCAGCTTAATATATGACTTGGATTAAATAGTATCTCCAGTGTGGTATATGGTGGTTTGGGTGCTTCTTTAGGAGATTCTTCCCAAACATCTGGTCTGATTCATGCTGTGGTTCCCAGTGCTAAGTATTCATACATGGCACCTGGCCACCTGGGTTCCCTGCCCTCTTTGGATGTCTTGCTGAATCAGTCTAATGTTAAAGCAGTTTGTGAAAGATAAATTTTTTGGCTTGCAGCATATATGGTAATTGGTTGCTTTTTCCCAGGGGAGAGTGGTAGATGATATTTCTTTTGACACAGCTTGCTTTTTTTTTTTAAGAAGTCGTGCTTTGGACATACCTACTAATACTTGCCATATTAGAATCATCTTTAAACAATTTTTTTTAATTTGAAATCTTTAATGTTTTGGTTCTTGTCTTCTTTTTTAGCTTTTATTTTTGTTTGGTAGGTTAGACACCAAGACACATATTTTTAAATTCTTGAAAATGCAATATAGTAGAGTGATTAAGAGCATGGTGCCAAACTGCCTGGATTTGAATCACAGCAGTGTGACCATGGGCAGGTCTCATAATGTCTAGATGACTCTGTTTTCCTGTCTATAAATGGAGACGGTGAAAGTAGTACCTATCAGCATTGTAAAGATTAGATGAGTTGATGTATTTAAAACACATAGAATAGTACCAGAATTAGTACCTAATTATTGTCATCATTTAGCTAAAGTTAGAATAAGGCAAACTCAGTAACTGACATGGACTCTCCTTATAAAGTGCTTTTGCAAATGTTTGCATGATAAAAATCCTGCTCAGTACAAGTACTTTCCCAAAAAGCCATAAAATCTCTAAAGGCTGGATTTCTGCTTCTACATTTGAGTTTTGGTATTTTCACTAAAGTGAAATTAGTTAACATGGTTGAAGATAAAGGTTCAATGTGATATTTAGGAAGCAAGGGGATAGCAGCAGGAAATGAAGAGAACTAGCAGTTATGGAGCACCCACTATGTTTATCTGGTACTATGCTAGGTACTTTGTATCTCCTTTAATCCTGTCTCATGTTTTTCAACTCAGGGAGGTGGATATCATTTTTCGCATTTGATGAATGAGGAAACTGAGGCCCAGAGAGATTAAGAAATTTGCCCCAGACACAATGAACAAACTATATTATAAATGAGAATATATGTGACCTAAGAGATAAAAGGAAGTGCTAATGGGGGTTGAACGAAGCAAGAGGACATACCCAGTTAAGGTTTTAGAACATCATAGAGGAAGCAAAGTTTTAAAATGTCCCTCAAGCAGTAGATAGGATTTTGATGAGAGTGTGCCAATTTAAAGGCATTAGAACAGTAAGTCTTGGCTCAGTGGCGCTTGAAAATACAGGTAAATTTGGGCCCTTCACCAATTCAGAATCTCTGAAGGGAGAAGTCCAAACAGTTGTATTTTTTAAAACTTTACAAGTGATATTGATTTGTAGCCAAGATTGAGAACTGTTCTGTTGTAGACAAAATTTATGGGCAGAATTCAGAGTACTGTTAGTAATCCAGTTTGTTCAGAATATAAAATAAAACAGGCATTGAAAGAGATTGGCTGAAAAGCCAAGTTGACTACCAAATTTCAGAGAGCTTTGACTGACAGTATAAGGAATTGTGTTTGTTTTAATAAACCTTTTAAGGTTTTTGCTTGTTTTTTTGTTGTTGTTGTAAAACAAAATAACATAGAATTTACCATCTTAACCATTTATATACAGCCAATCAAGATGAAATGCTTATCTAGTACCACTAAGAGCTGACGGTACAAACCAGAATGCTGCCGAGTCTTACCCCGTTCTCCCAAAGTTACTGCACTTCAAATATACATTAAAGATACCTTGATAACTAACACTTACTTTATATATGTATGTCCTTTCAAGCAGCTCTTCTCCACTTGTGGAAAAAGAACCTGATGTGCCTGTATTCTTTCCAAATCCTCTGCTGGCGGAGAGTGTAAGCATGTGCTTCCAAAGTGGACCAACAGAGGGTGCCACTAATAGCTCTGTAACATCAGGGGAACCCAAAACTGAGCAAGTAATGCAACCCTTGCCTCATCAACCATCTGATAACCAGAAACTATTCCAGGATGTGTTGGTAAGAAAATGTAAAGCATTTCATCTTTTGTGAGATGGTTATTTAGTCTAGGATATGTGAGTTAAGCCTTTCCTATCCTTAAACTGATTGGGACCTTGATATAAAAAGTTTTTCCCCAAATTAATGATATGTCACTTATTTCTTTTAGCTTTTCATAAATTATGATAACCTAAATTCAGTAACTCATTGTAAGCATGCCAGTCATCAGATACTTAGATAGCCAGGGAAAAAATGTCTTATTTTAAAAATATGTTGACATTATGCCAAATTCGAACTAAAGTTAGTACCAGAAAAATAAGCGAGAGTTTGCAGGAAACTTGAAAATTGGAAAGTAGTAGAATATTTATGATAATATTTACTGACTTTAGTTCAGATAAGCAGATTTTTATTGAATATTTAGCTTAGTATAAGAAAATGAACTAAGTGGATAATATACAGATGAATATGACCGTCTCTGCCTTTGAAAACCTATGGGAAATAGCCCATGGATACCAGTAACAAATAACTATAGGACAGGCTGAGAAGTGCTGTAAGCAAAGACAATACACAATAAAAAGGGGTAATTCGGGTTGGAGGAAATAGTCATCTTGGAAAAGCTAGAATGTAAACTGGGACTTGAAGGTCGAATGACCGTGGCTGTCGCTTACCAATTGTAGACTTTGGAACATTTGATTTCTCCATTTATAATTGAAGGCTAATTAAACATATGTCATAGGGCCTTAAGTATTCATGAGTTAACACATATTTGTTATTTGCCTGCTAGGTCCTAGACTGGTGCTAGCAGCCGTGTGCTCAAGGGAATGAAATATGATTTAATGTCAGGAAGGCAGAGATAGGATCACAGGTCATTCTCATTCAAAGCGAGAAAAGAGAGGAGTCAAATTCTCAAAGTAACATAAAGATCAAACTTATAACTCTGAAACATTATCATTTTTCAAATGAAGGCATGATTTTAAACTTTTGTTTATAAAGAATTTACTATAAATCCTTAAAAATACTTGAAATATTACTCAAATGATTTTAAATCTTTTGGTTTTAAAATGAACAAATTCTGAACAAACATTCTAAGTTTTCTGTAGGATCTGATGAAATCATTCATTCATTAAGATGGGCTTCTTTTATAAAAACTCCATAAAACTTGGCAAATGTATTTGATATTTTGTAGAATTTAGCAGGATAATATTTTGCTCTTCTCTGGCATTACTTACCACTATTATTTGCATTTTTGTTTCCTAAGACAGTTAATAGTGATTTTTCAAATATGTCCTTTTTCTTTTTTCATCAGGGTCAAGGGAACCACCTATTGAATAACTCCCACAAGGAAACTGAGCAGCCATCCACCAAAGCAGTAATTATCAGTCACGAATGCACCAGAATGCAGAATGTTTACCATACTAAAAAAAAAAACCATGATTCAGGACCGGTGGACAAAGATTGTGTTCTTAATGCAACCCTTAAGCAACTAAGAAGCCTTGGAGTAAAAATTGATTCTCCTACTAAAATGAAGAAAAATGTACATAAAGTGGATCATGCCAGGTAACTTTAAAATTTGTTTTAAAAGATAAAGAAAAATTTAAATGTATTGCAGCTGTCTCATGAAAAAAGGTATAAGCTTGCCACTCAATTCAATTGGCTTATCCTTTTTTCAGGGTCTACTATATGATGAATATAAGAGATTGTTTCTACCCTTTAGATTTTTCTAGTAGAGGAGCAGGTTATATTCCTAAGTAACTTGAGGGATATTGGCCAACAATATGCTCTGGGAGTCTTATAGAAAGAGAAATGAGCTTTTGCTCATTTTTGATGTCTGGAAAAGTTTTCCTGGAGGTGATGGAGTCTGCGCCAGCTACTGGATGTACAGTTAATGCAGTTATGCCATCTAAAAGGCAAAAACATTCCTTTTTGTGCGACTCCCCTGGTGGCGCAGTGGTTAAGAATCCGCCTGCCAATGCAGGGGACACGGCTTCGAGCCCTGGACCGGGAAGATCCCACATGCCGTGGAGCAGCTAAGCCCGTGCACCACAACTACTGAGCCTGCGCTCTAGAGCCCACGAGCCACAACTACTGAGCCTGTGTGCTACAACTACCGAAGCCTGCACGCCTAGAGCCCATGCTCTGCAACAAGAGAAGCCACTGCAATGAGAAGCCCACGTACCACAACGAAGAGTAGCCCCCTCTCGCTGCAACTAGAGAGAAAGCCTGCACGTAGCAACGAAGACCCAACGCAGCCCAAAGTAAATAAATTTTAAAACAGATTATTTCCTTTAAAAAAAAATTCCTTTTTGTAGAAATGTGTTTTGAAGAATATAGTTATATGAACCTTACTTATTGCTCACCAGTTCCAACTGGCCATGTTCTTCTGTTTAGATTCCTCTTCATCAAAGATCACCTCAACACATACTTGTTTTAAAGAGGATAAAATCTGGAAATTATGTTATTAAGGCTAGTGTGCTTTCTATTAATTATTTTTGATGTCATTTTCTAGTTACAAAAATAATACAATTTCATGATTTAAAAAAATATCAAATAACATGCAAGAATATCAGATAGAATGCAAAAGCCCCCACGTCCCAGACTCCTCAGTCTGACTCCTCCTAGATTATTTCTCTTAACTGTTTCTTTGGTATTCTTCTAGAAATGCTCTAGGCATGTTCAAGTATGTATCTGTGTGATAAGTGTTGTAATTTGGGGTTTTTGCTTAACGTTATATCTTAGGTACTTTTCTTTATAGGTATATGCAGTTCTTTCTCATGCATTTAAACAGCTGGATAATATTCTGTTGTGCCCATGTACTATAATATAGTGAACCCAAGTTCTCTATTAATGGACTTTTAGGCTGAATCTCTTATTTCTTATCTCAAACAATGCTAAGTGAACATCATTCTACATATACTTGTACAAGTGTCTTTGTAGGATAAATTCCTGGAAATAGGCAGGATCAAAGGATATGTGCATCTGAAGTTTTCGTAGATGTTGCCATTGCCGACCAAAATAGTTTTACTAGTTTATATGCCTACCACCAGTGTAGGAATGAGTCTAGCATTTTTGAAGGTTTTATTTCAATACTCTTGGGATAGAGGCTATATACATCTGTTAAAATGCATAAATCACCCTGCTATCTGTGTGGAGCCCTTACGTTTTGGTATGGCTGCCTGTAGGGAATAGTTTTCTTGTTTGTTTGTTTGTTTGTTTGTTTTTGCCGTACACGGGCCTCTCACTGTCATGGCCTCTCCCGTTGTGGAGCACAGGCTCCGGACGCACAGGCTCAGCGGCCATGGCTCACAGGCCCAGCCGCTCCGCGGCATGTGGGATCTTCCTGGACCGGGGCACGAACCCGTGTCCCCTGCATCGGCAGGCGGACTCTCAACCACTGCGCCACCAGGGAAGCCCGGGAATAGTTTCTAAGTAATGTATTTCTTCATAGTGGCCACCCTGTTTTAATCTCTTAAGTATGAAACATTGAAATGAATAAATTTTCAGTATATAATGAACTTGATTCTGTTTTTAAATGCCTATAATGAAATGGAAAGTAACGCCTTTTTGATGTATCAGTGTGGAGTAGTCACATTCTTTTTATTTAAATGACAGTTTATATTATAAATTTATGCTATAAAAATAATACATGCTCGGGGTTGGAATTTTACAAAGTGAAGAAAATGTCATCTGAACTAATAACACCCAAAGAAAATTAGGAAACATAGTTGCTGTTTTACTATATATATAATTTTGTTTATTTTTCTTTACTTACCATTACAAAATAGACATTTTCATTTAATATTGTGGGCTGTTCCCATTTTTAAAATTCAATTACCTATATGAGTTGAAAAATCCATAGATATACATTCATAGATAGGATTTTAGTTTCATGTAAGATGATTTTCTCAAGGAAGTAAAAGCTGATGTGAAAAAAATTATTTTCAGTTCAAAACAATATATTAAATTAATCATTTCCATAGAGGGGTAAACTGGCTAAAATTTTACAATGATATAGCTATATCTTCACATGAAAACTTTTTTAAAAAAGCTTTATTTTATGTTATAAATTGTGTAAAATATTGTAGAGCTTTGGAAATAGAGTTTGTTTTGTTTCCATTGTCAAAGTAATATGTTTATTTTGGAAACCTTGGAAAATTTAGAAAAGTAGACAAGGAAAACTCATATTCAGGGGAATTCCCTAGTGGTCCAGTGGTTAATACTATGTGCTTTCCCTGCTGAGGACCTGGGTTCGATCCCTGGTCGGGGAACTAAGATCCCACAAGCCGCGAGGCCAAAAAAAACAAAACAAAACATATTCATACCAACCAACTTCATTTACTATTAAAAATTTTGCTTTTGTATTTCCTTTTATTTTTCTAAAATAATTTTAACAGCAACCATTTATTGAGTGCTCATAATGTATGAGGAACTGTGCTGAAGTTTTATGCAACATTATTTCAGTTAATCCTTGCAATAATCTGTGTGATAGATACTATTATTATACATGTGTTATAGATGAGGAAATTAAGTACCAATTTACTCAAGACCCCACACCTGTAATTTTAAACCTACTCTTCTAACTCCAAAGTCCATAGTTTTTTTGTTTTGTTTTGTTTTTTTACTATTTTGCTCTATGCTTATTGCTTGTTTAAGTTTTTGGTGGGGTCTTAACGGTGGTGTATATTTTGCTGCTTTGTGTTTTGACCATACTGTATATACCCTCCCAAAAAAGTGTTTTTGGTTTTACACTGGAAAATAATCACGTTTTCAAAGTTGTTGTAACGTCTTCTAAGCATCATCTTTAGTGGGGAACTAATAAACCAGTAAGTAGGGCATAGTATTTGTTTACTTAACCCTTCCCCTCTTGTCAGAACTGAGTCAAATTTTTTTCAATGTCTACTATTTTAAATATTGCTATGATAAACATCCTTTTGCCAAGATTGCATTTTTTAGGTTTAGGATTATTTCCTTAGACTAGAGTCTCAGAAGTAGAAAGACTAAGTCAAATGGTAGGAAAATTTTAAGGCTGTCACTACATTGCTGTCTGAAAGAGTAAGATTTTTACCTTCCTACCAGCTATATGTGTTAGTAGTTCACCAATACTTTTACTCATTTTACTTCAATAAATATACAATGAGCTGCTACTGTGAGCCAGCTATGAGAAATATCATGGTATACAAGATAACCTAGGAAAGACATCTTTCCCCTCATAGATCTTGTAGTTCAGTGGAGAAGATGCACAAATAAATAGTCAATTATAAAATACTCTGATACCTGCTATGAAAAGGAAGGATATAGTATATCATGGAAGCACATAGGAGAGGTACCTAGCATATTTTCATACTGTATTATAATTACCCTATATTAAAATTGACCATTTTAAAGATCTGTGCTAAATTAGACCAAAAATTCTTAAATTATCTTTAATTTATATTTTATGCATTATTAATGGATTCTCTATGTTATTGTGATTAAAAATGAAACTGCACTGAAACTATTTCTCTAACACATATGTCATATTTTGTTGTCAGTAGTCTTAGGCTGAGAGGAGATTCCAAGCATAAGACTATCTAAAGCCTACCGAATTAATTCACGTTGTTTCAGTTTGTCTTGAACTTAGTTCTTTTAGTATAATCTCCTACCACTCTCTACCAAATTCCAGTTTACCCCTCTTTGGCATTTGCAAAGTTCCTTGCTGTTAGTTTTACCTGGGATGCTCTTTTTTATCTTTCTGCTTGCCAGAATCCTTATCCTTCAAAGCTGAACTCAGACGTCACCTCCTTTGTCAATGTTTCTGGGACCCCTCACCAGAATATTGATGTTTTGTACTCTCAGAGTACCTTGTTTCTAATAAATTATATAGCATGTTCTTGTGATAGCCTTTCCAGCAAGATTGTGAGTTTTATCTATCTGTGAATCCTCATTGCTTCTACCACATTTGGTGGGTCTTCATGGATTGATAAAGGAAGGAAATCCAAACTACTCGGGTCATCACTGAGGTTTACAATGAATGCCTTATTTTTATAAGTACCTCTGTAATACTTATTGTCAGTATTTATGGCCTTGTGTTGTTATCTTTTAACAGATATTGGTATAATATAGTTGGTGTGCTGAAAGTTCATAAGGCAGTTGTTTAGAATTTAAGACACATTTTTCCTATAGAAATAGTGTATAAATTGTAGTTTGGTATTCCAGAAAAGTAATCTTTGTAATCCTTGTAATGCCTGTTGTTGTCCTAGTTCTATAAACCAGCTACCTTTGTCATTGTACCTATGTGAAAACTTATTTCACGTTCCAGTTCTGGACTGCAGGAGCATATCTTCTAGCCAGAAGAGTAGCTGAGACAGGGGAAGGAAGATTTCCTTTCTGTTTTCCTGTTCCGTAACACTGCAGATTAAGAAGGTCCAAAAACAGGAAAACAATGAAAGAAGGTCCCAGACATACCTAGAAATTGTAGGGAAGATGGAGGACTGGCAGCAGCCTCTACAGGCATATTCCCAATTGGAGTGACCTTTTGAATTCAAAACAGATCCTTAGCAGTCTCTCTAGTTATTTCCTTGCTCTCTACTTGAAAATGGTATGTTTCCTCTAGTTGAAAACCCTATGTAGGATAAGTAGGAGGTAACTAATTGGGATTCAAACAGGACAGTAGTCAGGGTTGGTTTTCATCTTTAAGTAAGCTGGAATCGTTCCCTTAATTGTTGGCATGTGACTCTCATATTTAAACATAAATGGACTCTCATCATCCTTTTGTGACTGTATGTCTAATGAGATTCTAATATAGTATATCTGTGATCAAGGCTTTTAGGATTTGATCAGTGGAATGGCCTACTTTTGCTTTTCATCTTAATTACACTAGTGTTTATATGCATTTGTCCTGAGTATTATTGATTTGTTTTGTTTTCAAAGTAATTGTGTTTCCTCCAGACCCCAAATCGAAACTAGCTAGCTGTGTTAGACAATGAAACTTGAAGAACCTTTTGAACTGGTATTGATTGTTTTCATGGATTTATATGGATCTTTTAACCATTCTATAAAAGATCTATTATTACTCAGCCATAAAAAAAGAATGAAATAATGCCATTTGTAGCAACATGGATGGACTTAGAGATTATCATATTAAGTGAAGTAAGACAGAGAAAAACAAACATTGTATGATATCACCTATATGTGGAATCTAAAAAAAATGACAGAAATGAACTTACTTATAAAACAGAAATAGACTCACAGACATAGAAAATAAACTTATGGTTACCAAAGGGGATGGGGGGAGGAGATAAATTAGGAGTTTGGGATTAACGTATGCATATTACTGCATATAAAATAGATAAACAAGGATCTACTGTACAGCTCAGGGAACTATATTCAATATCTTATGATAACCTATAATGGAAAAGACTCTGAAAAAGAATATATATATAAATAACTGAATCACTTTGCTGTACACCTGAAACTAACACAACATTGTAAATTAGCTATACTTCAATTTTTAAAAATGGTTTAAAAGAAAAGATCTAATTCAAATTAGATCTACTTTTTCTTAATATTTAACATTTTGAATTAGAAGTTTTTATTTGCCTTCATATTATTTACATTAATATTATCTATAGATATATTTTTAATATGTACAAGTCTGATTTAATATGCAAATTGCTTATAATTTTGAGGAAATAGGCAAAGAAAGTAGAAAAATGACTTTATATTCAGAAGATATTAGCACTATGAATATATCATAAAAGAATAATATCTAGATAGATTGGTACTATCTCTTCCATCTTATTAAGACAGTCTCCAAAGCAGTAAATACCAAGAAGGTTGAGGAAGAATTCCAAGGTAGTTATAAAGAACAGCATTATTAAGCACATTCTTCCATTGTTTGGTAATGACATCACTGGTTTTAGGGGATATTGATGGTTGAAAATAGTTTCTTCAGAATTTCAGGTACTTGTGAGAATAAAAATACCTGATAGTTATTTGGGTTTTGTGAGGGTAGGGATGCAGGCAGTGGCTGGCATGTATAAAACAGCTGAATTTCTTCGTTGGATGGTATGGAAAGTCATAGCATATTGTTTGACTGGAATATAATAATAATATACTATATTGTAATATTATATATATAATATAATAGTACACAGAGGACTCTGATTTTTAGGGAATAGAAAAACTCTGATAGCAAAATACAAATTGCTGAATACAGTGTAGTGAAACAGTGGTTATAGAGTCCCAGAGAGTAAGGCAGACCTGGGCTCAGCTTGCCAGTTACTAGCTGTTCAACTTAGGGAAATTAGTTAAAATCTCTATTCCTTAGTTTTCTCAACTGTAAAATAAAGATAATAATACCTATTCATTCAGTAAATATTTATTGAATGCCTACCCTGTGCCAGGCACTGTTCCAGGCACCAAGGATACTGCAGTGGTGGGGGAAAGAGACAAAAAATCCCTTGCCCTCATGGATTTTCATGAGGGAGCTAGACTATAAATAAGAACTGTGAGTTAAATATATAGGTAGCCATAAGTGCCGAGGAGAAAACAGAAAAGTAGGGGAAGAGAAATGTGAATTGTTGTAATGGAGAATAAGTTTGAAATACATGATAGGGACAACCTCCCAGAGAAAGGTTTCTGCAAGGATTAAATAAGGCACTGAATGTTTAGCAGAGTGCCTAGCACATAATAAGGCATCAATAAAAATTAGCAGCTATTATTGTATATGTGATATACAGGAAAAGGCAAGTCAGTTGATTACTGTTAATGAGATACACCAGCCAAAGTGAGTGAGGATTATATCTAACAAAAGAAAATTGGTGTATACACACACACACGCACACATGTCCATATCCAGAGACTGGTTGATATTTTTCATTCATTACAAATGGAATCTCTTCAACTATGAACAATGTAACATTCTGAGCTACTCACCAAATCTTGTTATATTATCAGATGTGTTTTCTGTTTGATTTAATTTATTTTTATTTTACCAGTATTAAAAAGCTTTACATTTTGGGGTCTTATATTTGGTCTTAAAACCATAACTGATATAAATTTAGGAAAATTAATTTGTGTTCCACTTTCAGTCTTTGCATCATGGATTACCTTCTAGGTTATCATAGTTACCCCTTGAATGTATCTGGATCATCAAGACTTAGATGTCTGAGCTTTCAGATAAAAAGCACCATCAAGCTTAAAGCTGAAGACTTACTGTTACCTTCATAGAATGGAACATATTTACAATTACACTGTTTAGTACTCAAAATAAGATAAATGATGGCCTGCTCTGTTCTGTCTTTCAGTGTGTTGGCATGCATCAGCCCTGAAGCAGTGATCTCTGGATTAAACTGCATGTCATTTGCTAATGTTGGCATGAGTGGCTTAAGCCCCAACGGTGTGGATTTGAGCATGGAGGCAAATGCTATAGCTCTGAAATATTTAAATGAAAATCAGCTGTCACAACTGTCTCTCACTCGATCAAACCAAAATAACTGTGACTCATCTTTTAGTCTTCTACATATTAATACAGACAGAAACACAGTGGGCCTTAGTTTAATTTCACCAAACAACATGTCATTTGCAACCAAAAAATACATGAAGAGATATGGACTGATTCAAAGCAGTGACAATAGTGAAGATGAAGAGGAGCCTCCAAACAATACAGATACCAAGAGTGAACATTTAGTGAATCAAAACCTTACATGCATAGCTGAACAACTTGATTGTCAGAAAGAGCCTTCTAGGAATGCTTGGGAGATAACTACTTGTAACTGTGACTCCATGGGCACCCACACAGATATGCCAGTATTGAGAAATATTACAAATGAAGTTGTTCAGCCAAAAGCAACACCACAGTTGAATGAAAACCCAGATTTCTTATTAAAGAACCTTAAATCAAGTCCTGCAGTGAAACTCCGAACTGGAAAAGCAGAGTTCACCCAACATCCTGAGAAAGAAAATGTCAGGGACACTCCGATTTTTCCTGAAAGTTTGAAACCTTCTGACACTTTAAAGCAAATGAATAGTATGAATTCAGTAGGCACCTTCTTAGATGTGAAGCGTCTCAGACAGTTGCCAAAATTATTTTAAACTTTTAATTCCCCCGCCCTCCTGATATGAGGATGGGATGTCTCCTGAAGATACTTACGGAAGCCAGAGCCTTTTGATAGTTTTGGAATTCCTAGTCATTCTAGGGATCACTCTTTCTTGGTAGCAGCTGATGGCAAAGAGCTGAACAAGTGACCTGATTGTCTATGAGATGGCTGGCTATTAGGAGGGCTAAATGCCCTTTGTTCAAATAGTGGTGTTCAGCATCACTGGATTTTTTTTTTTTTAAACAAATCCTAAGATCAGTTATTTCAACAAATTTAGATAAGCAGATGCTATCCAACTATGAATCTGAATTGCTCTTTTATACTGTACATTTTGAAAAGTAAGTCTGTTTTCCTAGCATTTTGCATCTACCCAGTATCACCAAAAGAATATAAAGTTATCATGACCCTGAGTAAATTAGCTAAATCAACCCTTATTGAATTTAAGGGGAAAGTTTTATTTTTAAAAGTAACTTAAGATCTTTTATACAAGGAGTATAGATGTTGTCTTAAGATGCATATTTGTTAAATACTGTGGAAGTAAAACTTTTGCACTCTTGTGGGTTGATGTTAATGTAACATTTTCAACATACAGCACTAGCGATCACATAATAAAATTATTGAGTATGAGTGTGTTTTATAAACTTTGTGAGTTTTTCAGATGTTTTAATATTTTTAATGGAACTTAATAAAAATGTCTAGATTGACTACTTTCCTTTGTCCTCTGCTGTAGCATATCCTTCTCCACTTTTAAAAAAAAAACTTTTTAGACTCCCCAAAAATTACAAAAATGATACAGAGAGTTCAGGTGTACCCTTTATCCAGCAACCCCCAATGATAATATCTTATATAACCATAGTAAATGATCAAAACCAAGCAATTGACATTGGGTACAATATTAGTAACTAAACCACAGACTTTTCAGATTTCACAAGTTGCTGCACTCATTTATTTACTTTTTGGTGTATAACTATGAAAATTTATCACTTATAGATTTGCACAACCACCACCACAATCAGCATACAGAACTGTCCCATCATCACAAAGAAACTCCCTAGTTCTGCTCTTTTAAAATACAGCCTCCCTCCAACACTAACTCCTGACAACCAATGATCTGTTCTCTATCACTGAAGTTTTGTCATTTTGAGAATGCTAATATAAATGGAATCATAGTATGTAATTTCTTGAAATTGGTTTTCACTCCGCATAATATCCTTGAGATCCATCCAACTTGTTTAGTGCATCAGTAGTTGCTTCCTTTCCTCACCTTCTTAAGAAATAAGTTTTAAATTGTTATTTCTGAACGTAAATGAAAAAGTCCTCATTCACTTGAGAGAGAAAGCTCTTCTGCTGAAGTTAAATTAAGACGTCGTTGCCTTATATCAAAATTTGATACGTAAACTGGAGAGAAATGGACTTTGGGTCTCTAAATACCCAGCTGGGGCCTTCTAAGGTAATAATCTGATGAAACAATTTATACTTAGCCAGCCAAAGTATGGCAACATGATGCTCTCTGCTGTTCCCCACTGGAGCCAGGCACCAGTTAGTGTACGCTTCCCTGTTACATTGCCCTTTCAGGTTAAAATCAAGATATAGAAATGTCACTGATGGTGATTCTCTGTGTTTACCTTTGTTCCCATTGGCAATGTCTGGGGCTTCGGTTATTTTAATAAATATTTTAAAAATCCACTTATAGGTTTCATTGGAGTAAATTTTTAAGTAATGGAATTGTCATCGCCACTTCAAGTGTGTTCTGTTTAACTTTAGCCCTCAGTGTTTCACCCAAGAAGTGGGTGTAAGTACAATTTATATTGCATATTATTTAAAAAACTGAGAGAATGCTGATGCACTGACAGCCTCATTAACTATACCATTATCTCTGGGAATCCTGTAATTTTCACACCAAACAAGAAGCTCTCTATCTGAGCAATAAAAACTGAACTCAAGGCTTTTTAGGCTTTTTTTTTTTATAGCAATAAAAACTGAACCCAAGGCTTTTAATTCCATCACTACTGTTAGCACATCTAATTCAAGGCCTCTGATAAGACACTTAAGCAGTTTTGGAGACTGAATTTAGACTGTAGATTAATTCAATAAAACATGTCTCCTACTAACATCCAGAGAAGAGGGACCATCACTGAAGCCTCTCTAGAAGTTCTCTAAGAAGAGAACTCACTCTGGAAGCTATCTGACAAATTAGCTATCTACAATAGCTTTTCGGCATCTTTGGAAACAGCATTAATATGGGAAAAGTTGGATGAAAAGACTTTGGAGATGATTGCCTCTCAAGTGACGTTTGTCTGAATTTCTTTCTTTCATCCAGTCCCACAGAATACTGTTTATAGATATGTGGGCGCTACGTCAAATGGAATAAGGAAATGATGGAGCTTCTATTACCTGGGAAAGAAACCTGTTAGTCTAGGTCCTGGCCAGTCGGCACCTCCACACCCTTCATCAAATGTCCCTTCACTCAACCTCTGAGCCCCTTGATGGTTAATTACTCTATGCTCACTTGTCCTCTGCCTTTCCCTGCCTGTGCTAAATAAGCTCCAGAGAAGTGGATGTAGACATGTTAGACATAAGTCTTGCCTTTGCCAGCTGTAAAGGCTCTAGGGGAAACAGATACACACTGGAAACAGTGGCACAACAGTATGAGACAGTGTATGATGAAAAGCCAAAACGAGTGATTCGGACTATGAAGAGCCACAACAGTGTAATCAAGATAGCTTCCATCTTTTAAGACTTAACTACATGCTCACAGGGCGCTGTGCAGAGCACTTCACATGCCTATGAGACACAGATCTTGAGCTGAATGAATGATTTTTGAATACTACAGTCAGTGCTATTTCAGGTATGTGCTGTCCTCCAAGCTGCCGGCCTTATTTTCTGCCAAGAAGTCCCCCTGCCCTTTAGCCAAGACCAGAAACTACTGGTTTTTCAGTCAACAGTCCTAAAGAAGGGAACCCCAGCTCTGTTAATATTAAAGAGTTCACGTCAATGATTTTACATCGTGGTAACCTCTACTGAGTACTGTAACGGCTCCAGGAAATTAGAGGAGCAAAAGAGTTTTCTGTGCCCTTGTTTTCTAGACATTTCTCTTTTTTTTTTTTAAGATTAATATATTTATTTATTGGCTGCGTTGGGTCTTCGTTGCTGTGAGCAGGCTTTCTCTAGTTGCGGTGAGCAGGGGCTACTCTTCGTTGTGGTGTGTGGGCTTCTCATTGTGGTGGCTTCTCTTGTGGAGTACAGGCTCTAGGCGCACAGGCTTCAGTAGTTCTGGCATGCGGGCTTCAGTAGTTGTGGCTCACGGGCTCTAGAGCACAGGCTCAGTAGTTGTGGTGCACAGGCTTAGTTGCTCCGTGGCATGTGAGATCTTCCCGGACCAGGGCTCGTACCTGTGTCCCCTGCATTGGCAGGTGGATTCTTAACCACTGTGCCACTAGGGAAGCCCCTAGACATTACTCTTGAGGGCAGAACCTTTCCTAGCTCCTAGATTAACAGAGACCTTTATGCCTGCAAAATAAATTTAATGGTAATGTCTTAGATTTGCAGACTGCTTCACACTCTTCAAAGTGCTTTCCCACACATTTCCTCATACGATCCTCACAACAAAAACCCAACTGAAGTATGTACGGCAGACATCATCAACCTCTTTCTACAGATGATGAGACAGACACAAATAAGGTATAAGTGGGCCAAGGTCACACACTTATAGTTAACAACCTAGCCCTTCATAGCATCCAGCCCAGCAGTAGCCATTCCCTCCATTCTTCCTCTCCCCACCGGCACCTTTTATACCCCTAGTCATTCAGCAGGTGTCTAATGTTGATTCTGCTGGGCTCTGGGCTGGGATGCTGAGCATACCGTGATGAACAAGACAACTTGTCCTGTAGGATCTCGATCTAATGGGGGAGACACATGCAAACATTAGCAATACAGTGAGGTCAGGGCTTATAATAAAACTATATGACGTGAGGATATATTAAGAGGACGGTTATTTTGCAAATGCTCCAGGTTTTTCCAAAATCTTACAGGAGCAATATGGAAGAGAAGGGGAAGATGTGATATTTCTGACAGAGGGAACAGCTTGTTGGAAAGCATGGAGATCTGAATAGGTATAGCATTGGAGGAGGGGGTTTGGGGCAGGAAACCAAAGATAGGAAGGGAAAAAAGACATCTAGAACACTGAGTTAGGAGTCAGCAACATTTGGGTTCCACTTGTCCCTCTGCTCAAAATTCCATAACGTTGGGCAAGTCACTTCATATCACTAGGTTTATTTCCCAGTTTTTTAGGTGAAGGGGTTAGCCATGTATCTCTAACATTCTGTGATTGTATGAAATGTTAACACAGAAATAGGCTGTGAGGAGTGATTTATAAGTCCAGAGGAGGGAAAGGCTTCTGCAAGAGATAGCATTGGAATTGGGCCTTGAAGCATTTTGAAGGATTTCCACAGTCATCGATGAGGAAAAGATTTCCTTACTTTTAATAATACCTAATTATTTAACACTTTAAAAAGAAAAAGAATTCCGTTTTCACCACCAAAATGTTGAGTAATAATATCTGTTCAAAGAGGTACCAACATCTCTTTCTCCAGCTCTGAATTAATACATTCCCTGACTTTAAGGAGCTCAAACTCCAGTGTGGAAGAAAACATCAAACCCACAGAAAGGGGCTTAAGGGTTTGCAGGCCTGGGTGATGTTCCCTATCTCCTCTCCGCTCCCCAAACGGGAACTGTTTGGATCACAGAAAACATCCTCACAGGAAATCCTGCTTTCCCACCTCCTGGTAAGAGGCTGAACTCCAGGAAAAGGATGGATTTGGGGAGAGCCCTGTGTCCTGCCTCTTCACGGGAGGTCTGGGACCAGGAGGACAAGAGGAACTAATTAAAAACACAATGGAAAAGGCGATGTCAGGTATTCAGAGCTGCAGTGCCCTCAGAAATCACTTGGTCCTCACTGTACAAATGAGGACATCAGGGCCCCAAGAAAAGGGACTTGCTCAAATTCACACAGCTCAGTAAGCACAGAGCTCAGGCTGGAACTCAGGACTCCAGCCTCTCAGAGCATGCTGTCATATGCCATGGTATTTGAGTCAGTAAATCAGGTACCAAGCATCAAACCTAGCCTTGCCTCCCCCGCCCCCCATTTGCCTTTCTACCATAAAGGAACGAAAAGGCTCTGTGTGCACACGGGAACGTACACACACACACACACACACACACACACACACACACACACACACACA